CAGTGGACACACAGACCGTTCAATCTAATCTGTGTCCTATGCTTCCTGCCTTTTAATTCAACGCGTGTCTATTCAATAAATTGTTTTGTCACTAATAAATGAAACAAAACAAAAAAGGTGACACATTTAGCCAGCAATGGGAAACTGGGCCGCCAAGGCCCCCATCGCCCCCTCCTCCACTTTCCCGCCAATCAGAAATCGACTTCATATCACGATCTCCTTTGTGAGGTGAGATTCTCATTGCAAAGATTGGCGCATGCCTTCCACAGAAGAAATCGTCAAGCTAGAACGTCTACCGCCATTGCTATCAAAAGCCTTTGGTTGACGAATGAGAATGGAACGTTAAAACATACACAAAATACGAATGGAATAGGAAAAAGAAAAGAGTGAAATGCTGAATGGCCGGTGTATAAATGGCAGGTAATTTTCAATGGCACATCATTTTCAGTCTTATGTACATTCATATATACATAGGTGATTGTTCAAGTGTGTATAAGGATACGTGTATATGCAAATATATATATATATATATATATATATATATATATAGGATATATATGCAAATGTATATATATATATATATATATATACATTTGCATATATACACTTGAACAATCACCTATGCATATATACATATATGAAGACGCACACATACACACACAAACATATACACACGCACACACACACACACACAAACACACACATATATATATATATATATATATATATATATATATATATATATATATATATATATGGATAGAAAGACAAGATGAAAGCTTTTAGTCAGTTTTTAGCCAAGGCTTTTCTTCGTCCGTCATTTTCAATGGCACTTCATTTTCAGTCTTATTTAATATATATATATATATCTATCTATATATATCTATCTATATATATATATATATATATATGGGTGCATTCATATATATATAGGGATTGATTGTTCAAGTGGATACGTATATATCTATATATATACTATATATATATATATATATATATATATATATATATACATTTGCATATATACGTAACCTTAGACACACTTGAACAATCACCTATGCAAATATGAACACACACACAAATACACGCACACACACACGCACGCACACACCGATACACACACATATTTATCTATATATATTTATATATATTGATAGATAGACACGATGAAAACTAGTTAGTTTTTAGCCAAGGCTTTTCTTCATCCGACGTTCTTTATCAACGCGAACGTGAGAGTTTTTGTTTTGCAACATGTATATATTTGACAGTTACTCAAAATTTTTAAATTTAAGAACGCCCATGAATATTTATCAGTTTAACTGAAAAGTTTTTCAAATTTTGAGCGACTGTCAAATATATACTTGCTGCAAAAAAAAAAACTCTCACATTTGCCTTGATAAAGTCCGTCACATGTTTTTCCTCTTGGCTTTGTCTATTCTACAGATATACTCCATCTGGGAATAATTACACACACACACACACACACACACACATATATATATATATATATATATATATATATATATATATATATATATATATATATATATATAGTTTTATATATATATATATATATATATATTAGTGGTAAATATACAAATATATATGCAATCATATATCTAAAATATATAAATATATATACATACATACATACATACATACACGTACATATATATATTTATAAAAAATAATTCCAAGAGGATAGAATCCAGGTAGAACTCAATGTTCAGGACAGACTAAGGATATAATAAAAAGGCTTAAACACTAATATTCCGTGGTCATAATTTATTTCATTGGAATCGTAAATACGATCCAATTCATTAAAAAAAATTTAAATGCATAGCGCATCACATAAACATACACAATGATATGTATAGATAATCATAATAGTCATTCCACTGAAATGTCATGCCCGATGTTAAGATGAAACTGACATAAGTGACAACACGTTATAAAACAGTGTTTATGTTTTGAATCGTTTCTTATGTCTACATTTAGAAAATATCTCACTACGAAGATTTAGCAACTCATCTTGATTCTTATCTTTAATAATAAAATTTTTTTCGCCATGCACAGATCAAACCGATATGTATCATTGTGTATGTTTCTGTGATGCGCTATGTATTTAATTTTGTTTTTATATTAATTTTTTGATTTTGAGATAATTTCTTTTAAAATTTTATATTTTGATTTATATACGGAGATTTATATGTATATTCATTTCCGGTGTATCTTTAATGTATTAGACATCCAAGAATATTCTCCCCCCTTTGAAACTTCTCTCTGTTAAATTCTATCCCACCCTTCACCTTTAGACCTTCCTGTTCTTCTCCTGTTACCCCTCCTTATAGCTTTCATTTACTCTAACATTCGTCCCACACTCTCATATATACACTCTCACTAATTTTTTATTCCTGGAGTTGTTTTCTGTTTCTTTTTTGAATTTGTAGGTCTGACGAATTGGATCGTATTTACGATACCAATGGAATAAATTATAATCATGGAATATTAGTGTTTAGTCCTTTTTATTATATATATATATATATATATATATATATATATATATATATATATTAAGACATATATTGTTAAATATAACAAATATACCAGACAAGGAGAATATATATATATATATATATATATATATATATATAGTAAAACCTTGTCTGTCGTATTCAATGAAATGTGCATGAAAGAAGGATTGCTGCCTACATACACAAAATTTATCTATATATATATATATACAGTGTAACCCGGATATAAGAGAGTCGGGACTGGAGAAGAAGTCTCTTATATTCGGGTTTCTCTTATATCCGGATTTGGTCTATATGTATACATTAACACAGGCTCTAATTTGGGGCCAGAGAAAATCTCTCTTATATCCGGGTTTCTCTTATATCCGGCTCTCTTATATCCGGGTTACACTATATATATATATATATATATATATATATATATGTGTGTGTGTGTGTGTGTTTAGGCAGCATTTTTTCATTGAGACATGTTTCATTAAATACTATAGACAAGTGTTGTCTATTTATTTTATGCAAATTCTTTTCATATCGTCTGATAAGCTTAATAACATTATCATTAAACGAAAAAAGAAAATCACAATATTGATACATATTTTTTAATCCTATCTAAGCTTTCGGCTTACATAAGCCATTATCAAAGATCACAATTACATTAAAAATGTATTAACCAATACACGGAGAAAAACAATAATGATAGTCTGTTTATGTTTACATGGAAGATTTTCAAGCAACGACAAACTCGTGCATATGAGACGCTGGAAAAGAAAATCGCACCGCAGCTCATGACGTCACACATGACCACGCGAGAGTGAAAACGAGAAGTATTAAGTATGGGAAGCCGTTCGTTTAAACCAATGGTTTCTGTTATCAATTATAGGCATTTAAGAATATTTGTGGAGATTTCATAGTTATTTTGTTCAGGTTAGGCTTCAACTGTTTTATGTATATAGCTTCAAGAATTTTTATATATACATATATTATATATATGTATATATAATTTTTATACGTATATATATATATATATATATATATATATATATATATATATATATATATATATATAGTATAACCCGGATATGAGAGAGTTGTCGGGATCGGAGAAGAAGTCTCTTATATCCGGGTTTCTCTTATATCCGGTTTGGTCTATTTTATATACATTAACACAGGCTCTAATTTGGGACCAGAGAAAATCTCTCTTATATCGGGGTTTTCTTATATCCGGTTATGTATATATATATATATATATATATATATATATATAAACTCATCACAACCGATTCACCCGCTATGTATGTAGATATGTGTAAATGAATGTCTATGTTTTAGGTTTCTTTCTCAAGAACATTGAATCACGGGTTGCAATTTGAAAAGTACAGCTCCGAGTGCAGGTCGAAATGTCGACATTAGCGTATCTTTCACTCGAATATCATGTCAACTAAGACATCATGGCGGAGAATCTCTAGATAACTGCTCAGTCCGGAACAACATTACACCTGCAAGGATCCCAGTGAGGATCGAACTTGCTAAGGTACTGAATAGATATCCGAAACTGTTCCTCTTGCTGCCGACTCGTTCGTTTAATTAAGTGTGAATCATTTATGCGACAACGGGTATGTCTTTTCCAAGGATGTTTCAGTGATTGCTCATGTGGGGTTTTTCAAGAAGCTTTAATTAACTAGATTTGGGGGGTGGGGAATTAATTTCCCTCGGAATCACCCGATAATTGTATTCATTCTTGTTTTTCTTCTATTGATTTCTTCAATTGTTCATCGTCACAGAATCAAGCGTTAAGTGCTTCGTCTCCAAACACGGAAATTAGGGCCGCCTTATTAAATGATGATTAAAATCAAGCTGTTACCGACATAGGTGAACACAAGGCGGTGGGTTGGGGATTGCTCAAGGGAGACAACTGCCTTGTTTAGAGCATGTAACACACATTGTCTTCGCTTGCTCAGTTTCTCTTTGTGTCTGTCTGACGCTTTATCTCTTTAAGAATATCCCGAACAGTTTTTAGAGTCTTTTATCCGTGCAACTATTGTCCATCTTCTTCAATCAGTTCCCGTCTACCTGACGAGGCTGACGCCCATATCACGTTGAAATATCGGTTCTCGCACGATCACAGAAGATACGCCTCATCGACCCTGGTCAGTGTTTAGATGGGTGACCACTTAGAAATACGAAGTGCTATAGGTTTGGATGTGCGGGTGGTATAGTGGATAAGTTTATGTTCACTGACGCGTAACTACCCTTATGAATCCACCTCTTCTTCCCCAAGCTATGGATTAATTAGTAAGATTTGTAACACTAAAAACCACTATTAACCACCCCCAGCCAAAAAAAAAATAAATAACCCATAGAGGTTAATAAAAAATATTTAGATTTCGGCATTAAATAACCCATAGAGGTTAATATGCTGCTAACAAAAAATAACCATACACGCGCTTTCGCTGACGTCACATTGAAACACCGTACGATCACCGAAGTTAAGCAACGTCGAGCTTGGTCAGTACTTAGATGGGTAGCCGCTTGGGAATACCAACTGATGTAAGCTTGGATGTGCGGGTGGTGTAATGGATAATGGCTCGGAATTGTTAATCAGACAGTCGATTTTTCTTGCGATCGCTGAAGTTAAGCAACGTCGAGCCTGGTCAGAATACCAATTGATCTAGATGGGGTGCATCAGAGAGTCGATTTTTTCTTGGGAATACCAGTTGCTGTGACCGTGGGAATAATAATTGGAAGTGCATGTGGTGTAATGGATAATGACTCGGAATTATCAATTGGGGGGTCGATTTCTCTTACGTTCACCGAAGTTAAGCAACGTCGAGCCTGGTCAGTACCTAGATGGGTGGCCGTTTGGGAATACCAATTGATGTAAGCTGGATAATGGCTCGGAATTGTTCATCAGAGAGTCGATTTTTCTTGCGAACGCCGAAGTTAAGCAACGTCGAGCCTGGTCAGTACCTAGATGTGTGTCCGCTTGGGAATACCAATTGATGTAGGCTTGGATGTGCGGGTGGTGTAATGGATAATGGCTCGGAATTGTTCATCAGAGAGTCGATTTTTCTTGCGAACGCCGAAGTTAAGCAACGTCGATTTTGCTCAGTATCTAGCTGGGTGACCGCTTGGGAATAATAATTGATGTAAGCATGGATGTGCGGGTGGTGTAATGGATAATGGCTCGGAATTGTTAATCAGAGAGTCGATTTCGCTTACGATCGCCGAAGTTAAGCAACGTCGAGCCTGGTCCGTACCTAGATGGGTGACAGCTTGGGAATACCCATTGCTGTAAGCTTGGATGTGCGGGTGGTGTAATGCATAATAGCGCAGAATTGTTAATTGTAGAGTCGATTTCTCTTACGTCCGTTGAAGTTAAGCAACGTCGAGCCTGGTTAGTACCTGGATGGGGGACCATTTGGGAATACCTGGTGGTGTAAGTCTGGATGTGTGTGTGGAGGTGCAATAGATAATGGCTCGTGATTGTTCATCAGAGAGCCGAGTTCCAATTCTTGTTGGGTTCATTGTATTCACTTACGAGCAAATAACTTTGGGAAAGATACCGCATGTAACAGCAAAATCTCCCCCCCCAATATTTAATACCTAAAAAACACTAAACTACTTGAGTTTCTTTTTCCAGGTTTTTAGATAAGATGTTTAGCCATCTTGACACTATTTCTCGTAAAAATCACTTAAAAACCCTTTGAGTTATTCAGCTAGAGAAAGAACATGTCAAAATCGTTTTGCGTTAGTCCCACTATCTTTTCTCAACTAAGAAATAATGAGAGGGAAAAGATCACTCATGCCTTCAGTAACGGTACCAACATTCATACTCTGCCTTCCATCGTCAAAGTCCATCCAAGAGAACGGTGAATAAATTTATAAAAGAGAGAACAGTAGAGAGAAAAACTGGATCAAGAGAGCACAAAAGCAAAAGCTAAAGAGATCAAATAAAAAAAAAGATCCAACTCAATCCATAAGACGTTTGGCACGTGAGAGAGGAGTTTCAGCTATGACAGTCCAAAGAGAAGCGAAAAAAAGACTTGAAAATGAAATCGGACGTGAAACTTGTGAAACACCATGTTACTTCAGGACAGAAAGTTAGAAGGTTAAAGAGGGCGAAGATCATCTTGAATAAGTTTGAATATGATCCTGGAATAATAATAATAATAATATATATATATATATATATATATATGTTTGAATTTTATTTCAATCTTTCATGAACATGTCATTTTCGTTTAGGATCGATTTCGTCACGATTCTGCAATTAAGCTTAGAGGTTATATATATATATATATATATATATATATATATATATATATATATATATATATATAGGGTTATTTTTATATATATATATATAGTTTATATATATATATATATATATATATATATATATATATTTTATATCTATATATATATATATATAGATATATATATATATGGTTATACCGAGTGTAACAGCAAAATTGTCATAATCTTGCAACAGTATAATTAGCCATCGCACAAAATATTTAATATCTAAAAACCACTAAACTAATTGAGTTCTTTTTTCCACCAGGTTTTCAGATAAGACGTTTAGCTATCTTTACACCATTTGTCGTAAGAATCACAGAAATACCCTTTGAGTTATTCAGCTACGAAGAGAACAGGATCAAATGCTTTGTGCCAGTCCTACTGTCTTCTCAACTGAGCAATGCTGAGAGGAAAAAGATCATTCAGGCCTTCAGTAATGGGACCAACATTCATAATCTCGCTTCCAACTTCAAAGTCTATTCTAAAACCATCAAGAGAACGGTGAATACGTTTTTAAAAAGGGGGTACAGTAGAGAGGAAAACTGGATCAGGAGGTCACAACAGGAAGAGGGATCATCATTTCAACTTAGAACTAAAATCATTTTTATTGTTCAAAGTAGAGTCCAATAATGTTATAAAAATCTCGGATAATTCCAGTAAGATATCTTTAATCATTTCTACGATACAACGGTTCAAATCTGAATCTTACCATTGCACTATTTGGACAACTTTGCTGTTACACCCAGTAAGTTTCCACCTCTTATTTCACACCCACCTACAGCAATATTAGTAAGATTTGTATAACTAAACAATTATTATCTCTCCAAAAGTTTCTTAGAATCTAAATATATTTTCTGGCTTTAAATAACCTGTAAAGGGTTGATAAACCGTAGAAAACAAATCGTTAAAGAATAAATATCTGCCTGACAATCCATGTGTATTTTTCACTTGAATCTTCATTACATTCTATTCACTACTATATTCTGTCAGTTACTCTCACCCAGTCTACAGTAGGCGCCCATCTGTCACATGTCAAAAAACATAGGCCCTATATTCTTCCGCTGACTTTGTCTGTTTGGGGCGTCTGTTTATATAACCGGCCGCCCAACTTACACTTTATCACGACTGGAATACAGGGTACAGGTTTGAGGGCACGTACTTCTGCACTCAGCGGCAGAAGTTACCTTAGGTTCGGCATCAATCTTGCTAGACGTCAGTTAGTTGTGTGAAGACCCCGAGGAAGGTAACACGACAGTAAAGTTAAAAGGGAACAGAAAGGATCAACGTTCAATCTATATATAAAATTCTCTGACTTCCGTTAGTCTGTCTGTCCGTCCATCACGCCCTCTAAAATCGCCATACATTGACTGATCGAAAACAAATTTTGGGGGTGAAGTGCAAACAGGAAAGGGGGTAGAATGTACAGTTAGTTTTGCTTGTGGGTGTAGCTTAGCACAATCAACTTTCCTTAATCTTACCGGAAAAGTTAAATGTTTTATTATTTAACATACAAAATGCACACACGATAAAAAAAACAATTTAATGATTAAAATGACACACTTAGGCGATGATGTATCAGTTGATACATGACTGACGAGGTAGATATTTTTTGACCTGCACTAGGTAGACTAGTTACCATCCAAGATTATAGAATCCCGTGTAACACATTACTTAACCTTAGCTAGGAGGAGAAAAGGACGATTCGTACCTTACCTAAAGGTACTATAGTGTAAGTGAATGCCATGGATTCGACTGGAATTCGAACTCGGCTCTCTGATTACTCAATCCGAGCCGCGATCCATTACTCCACGATGCTGCCATAAAGAGCGACATTATTATTTAATAAAAATGCAATATTTTTTTTGCCTATGTTTTCTTTAAGTTTTTATATATATAGAAGAATCCAGTTTCAATTCTAACCTGTGTTTGCGAGAAGTGTAAAGAAATCACAAGGCCAAACATTTCAAAAAGTTGGAATTTGGACCCAGAAAGAAATATTTACGCATAAAAAGGAAAAAAAAGGTTTCTTAAAAACATATTGTTTACCATGAAGTCCTAGAAAATTAAATATAAAAAAATATATTGAATCAGGTTATCCATATATATATATATATATATATATATATATGAGACACGGTGGACTAATGGACAGAGGCTTGCATTGAGGAATCGGAGATATATGGGTAAATAGCAGGACAGACTGTGTTCTATAGCCTTGGATGGCAACTGGTCTAGGAGAAGGAAAACTCTGAATTCAAAACCTGCGGAGTGTCGTTTGGGGACCTTGTGGCATATATATATATATATATATATATATATATATATATATATATATATATATATATATATATATATATATATATATATTACGCCCCCTCTCTCTAGAGCTTTCATTTCCTTCTCAGATTTGTCTCCCACTCCCACACATACACGCTCACTAAAATTTTGTTTTTATACCCGGAGTAAATAGAGACGAGTTACAGAGAGTGAAAGTAAGAGTAAAGAGGAGTAACAGAGAGTGAAAGTAAGAGTAAATAGAGAGGAGTTAAGAGAGTGAAAGTAGGAGTAAATAGAGAGGAGTTACAGAGAGTGAAAGTAAGAGTAAATAGAGAGGAGTTACAGAGAGTAAAAGTAAGAGTAGAGAGGAGTTACAGAGAGTAAAAGTAAGAGTAGAGAGGAGTTACAGAGAGTAAAAGTAAGAGTAGAGAGGAGTTACAGAGAGAAAAAGTAAGAGAAAAGAGGCGTGTTCGAGGAAAGGATACAGAGAAGGATGGGGAACAAGATCAAGGCATCAGAAGATGTCGATCGACATTACATTTGAATATTTGAAGATTATAGCTATCAAGGAAGCAAGTTATATAAAAGAGTTCCCCTGACGGGAGGTGCGAGATAAGAAGCTATTGGTGTAGAAGAGATGGCTACATTTTACAGTGTCGACAGTGAAAGGGTGGGACCGAGATGCCAACTTAGTAACGCGTTTAATTTCATGCCGTTGGGGCACCAGTGTAAATAGCTCGTCAGAGCAGTTGCCATGAAAATATTTGCAGAAAAGACAAAGAGAAGCTACCTCATATGTCTGTGAGAAAGTGACTGTAGACGATATGCTTTTGGTGAAAGAATAAAATAAAATTCAAGCTGAATGTTTATTTCCATTAAAATTCAGTTGAAATTAAATAATTCTAATCACACCGAGTTTGCTGAGGTATTATTTTGCATTTGACGAAAATTAATATAAGCAAAATAGCTAAATTTATGCATATTTGGTGTTTCCATATTAAAATAAATTCATTTCAATGTTTGTCATTGAACTGCAGGACTATAGCTGGTAGGTCTACTTGTATAATCAGGAAAATTTAATTAAAATATTAATACAGAAATATATACTTTAATAAACATATACAAATATTGACATGAAAATGTGCGAATATTTAAATGATACAAAATTGACATACGTATCTATAACATTCTCTCCCTCACCCTATCTATCTGTCTGCTTATTTATCTAATAATAATATAATTTATATAATCATCCATCAACATATCTACTAAGCATTATTTATATATATATATATATATATATATATATATATATATATATATATATATATATATATATATATATCAGTGATTAACTTATCTATTCATTTATCTATCTTTACATATGTCTATTGTTGTTTTTTTATCAATCTATGCATCTATTGTTCTTTCCATCTCTGTCACTTTTTCTCTCTTTCTCTCTTTCTCTCTTTCTCTCTCTATATATGGCATTTTCATTATCTATCACTTCTCTCTCTCTATCTATCTATCTATCTATCTATCTATCTATCTATCTATCTATCTATCTATCTGTCTATCTATCTATAAATAATTATCCATCAAAATATCTAAGATACATTTTATATATATATATATATATATATATATATCATTATCTTAACTATCCATTTATCTATCTTTACATATGTCTATTTTCTCATATCAATCTATGCATTTATTATTCTTTCCATGCTCTTCTCTCTCCCAATATATATATATATATATATATATATATATATATATATATATATATATATATATATATATATATATATATATATATATATATATATATCATTTTTCATTCTATCATTTTTTCATTATCTCTCTCTCTCTATATATAGATATATCAATCATTTAATTAATCTAATTAATCTAATTTAATTTATCTATTTATTTATCTATCATTATCTATCTATCTATCTATCTCTCTCTCTCTCTCTCTCTATATATATATATATATATATATATATATATATAATTTCATTTTTTTCTCTATCATTTTTTTCATATCTATATTCATTTTTTTCATTATCTCTCTCTCTCTCTTCCTATAAATATATGTGTGGGGGTATCGTTTTCATTATTTATCTATCTTTCTTTTCATATCTATCATTCTTTTTTATATTTATCATTCTTTTCATTATCTCTATATATCTTCTATATAGAAATAAATATATATATATATATATATCATTTCATTATCTTCATATGTATCTATCCATCTATCACTCTCTTTTCCCTCCTCCTCTCTTCTCTCTCTCTCTCTATATATATATATATATATATAATTTCATTATTTCTCTATCATTGTTTTCATGATCTCTCTTTTTCTTTCTCTCTCTATATCTATATATATATATATATATATATATATAGAGAGAGAGAGAGAGAGAGAGAAAGATAAAAGAGAATGTATATATAGAGAGAGAGTGAGAGAAAGTATGCATTTGTGTATGTACAATTATTTATCTTTCATTTTACTTTCAATTTTGCAGTTCTGAGTCGTAATAAAAAAAATAACCTGTAAAGTGCGACAAGATAAAGTCGACTGCTGATTAGAAATCAATGTTGCATTTTTTAAAAGTTGATCATGATATAAATTAAAAAATTACTAATCGAAAATACTGATAACAACAAGAGGAAAAAAACATTTTCAAAAAAAAAATAACTTGAAAAGAATAAAAGCTAATAAAGTAGAAAACTGGAATGACTTACAAGAAAATATTTGAACTTGGTGTTTCAAAATTTAACAAGATGCAGAATATTAGCAATGGCCATGAATGGTTGTGCTTGGTAAGAGTGGGTATTTTCAGTTTCTAGTCCCCCATTATAGGCATTATTATATTCCTGATATATTAAGACCGTAAAAAATGTTTGGTAGGGCAGAAAAGCTGAAAAAATGGACATTGAACTCAACACCCAAAGGCGACAGTCTGTCTCATGCTAAACGTAATCGTCAGGCCTGATTTGTTCATTTTAAAAATTAAAAAAAGAAAGACTAACGTCGAATAATGCAATTTTTTTTAAAGCAGTTTAAATTTTCTCGAAATTTGAGTTCTGGGTTTTAGCCTGATTAAAAAAAGGCGTTTTAATGTGAAAAGAGAAGCAAGAATGCCCCCATTATCCTACACCTTGTTTATATTATTATTATTATTATTGTTATTATTATTATTATTATTTTAAACTCTGCGATGTACTGTCCCACTTGGGGACACATTTAAGTAAATGCGCAGAGACTAGCGATTTGTATATATGATGTGTTTTATGTATCGTGTGAAGCTTTAATAATTGTTGTTTTTTGTTGTTAACGGATCTCCTTACTTAAATGATGAAAAGCTCAATGGATGCCAAGAACTAAATCCATAAAGATGGAGAAAGTAGAATTGCGGAATAGGGTAGGTTGGCGGGTGTATAAGGAAAGAGGTAAGAGAACAGGAGGGAAGAAACGGTACGGGGGAAAGAGTAAGAAAGAAACAAAGGACTATAGAGGGGAGAACTGGAACGAGGAAGAAGTTGGAATAGATAAAAGGAAAGATATTAGAGAAGAAGAAGAAGAAGAAGAAGAAGAAGAAGAAGAAGAAGAAAGAAGAAGAAGAAGAATGTACAAGAAAAGAATGAGAATTAAGAAAGAAAGAAGAAGAGTGAACATGAAAAGGAAAAAAAAATATGAACGAAAGAAGAAGAGGAGGAGGAGGAGAAGAAGGAGGAAGAGGGGGAGGAGGGGGAATGAACGTGAAAAGGAAGAAAATCAAGGACGAAAGAAGAAGAAATTGGCAAAATGGATGAAAGAGTAAACAAAGGAAATCAGACACAAAAGAAGAAAAGAAACGATGAATTATTTGAAGAATGAAGAAGAAAAGGAAGCAAAGAAAGAAAGAAAGAAAGAAAGAAAGAAAGAAAGAAAGAAAGAAAAGAGAAATTGCCTGAGGATAAAAAAGAAAAGAGAGAACGAAGGAAAAAAAGAAATAGAAGAAGAAAAAGAAAAAAGAGAAGAAGAACAAAAGAGAAACGGTGTAAGGATAAAAAAGAAAAGAAGGAATCAAGAAGAAGAAGGAGAAGGAGGAGGAGAAGGAGGAGGAGGAGAAGAAGAAGAAGAAGAAAGAAAGAAAGAAAGAAAGAAAGAAAGAAAGAAGGAGAATGAAATTATCTGAGGATAAAAAGAAAAGAAGGAAATCAGGAAAGAAGGTAGAAGAAGAAGAAACAAATGATGATGAAAAAGAAGAAAAACAAAAGAGAAATTGTCTGAGGATAAAAAAGTGAAGGAAATCAGGAAAGAAGGAAGAAAAGAAGAAGAAGAAGGAGAAAAGAAAAAAAGAATGTGACGTTTAAAAGAGGAAGTTGGAGTACAAAAGGAAGAAGAAAAAGAAGAAGAAAAAGAAGAAAAGGAAGAAGAAGAAAAGAAAGAAAAAGAATGTGACGTTTAAAAGAGGAAGTTGGAATAGAAAGGGAAGAAGAAGAAGAAGAAGAAGAAGAAGAAGAAGAAGAAGAAGAAGAAGAAGAAGAAGAAATTGTCTGAGAGTAAAAAAGCCAAGTAGAAAATCCGGGAAGAAGAAGAAGAAGAAGAAGAAGAAGAAAGAAAGAAAGAAAGAAAGAAAGAAAGAAAGAAAGAAGGAGAATGAAATTATCTGAGGATAGAAAGAAAAAAAGGAAATCAGGAAATTAAGAAGGAAGTAAAGAAGAAGAAGAACAAGAAGAAGAAGAAGAAAATGATCAAATTCGTCTGAGGATAAAAAGAAATGAACGAAATCGGGAAAGAAAGAGAGAAAAAAGAAAGAAAGAAAGAAAGAAAGAAAGAAAGAAGAAGAAGAAGAAGAAGAAGAATTATCTGAGGAACAAGAAATGGAGAGAAATCTAAAGCGAAACAATATAAAGACGAAAGAAACGAATAAGAGAAACAACGATATAACTAAAGATAATGTTCAATAGGGAAAAAGAGAACGAATAAAAGGAAAGGTGAAAAAGAGGAAGAAGAGAATAAAAGAGAAACATCAAAGGAAAAGAGAGAAGATAAGAAGGATGGGAAATAGGGGAAAAGAAAGAAAGAAAGCGATCAATAGAAAAATGGCGTCAAAGAAGGGCATTAATGAACATAAGGCAATTGACGAGAAATAAATGCACAAAACTCCAATGAAGGACGACTAAAATGGAACAACAAGCGCAGCCGAGAACGACAAGGACTTGGTGAACAGAGTCAAACAATGGCTGTGTGGGAAGAAAAAAAGATGACGTCAACTGCAGTAAGGAACGGAGACAGGGGACAAGCGAGCAGAGGGAGGGTTGGGTTGTGGGAAGCGATGGAGAAAAAAAAAAGGAGAGGCAGATAGAGATAAGAGGATGAGAAGAGGTGTGTTAGGGGAGAGTGTTCGATTGGTTTGGTAGGGAGAGAAAGTGACGGAGTTTGGGGGTCGATTTGCTGAAGTTGGAGAGAGAATCGAAGTGGAGATGGAGTGTAGGATGCTCAGTCGGGGCGGGAAGGTTGATCGATAAGCGGTGAGATAGATTGATAGGTAAACAGATTTCAAAAGATGGAAGACATTAGAAAGCAGGCCACAGTAGCAGTCAAAATTTTAAAAACAGTGCCGTATATTTATGCATGTTTTATTAAAAACGGCAGACAAGTTCTACAATTAAGCGTTTTATTTAATTTTTCTTGTCTTGTAACAAGTGTTTTCTTTTTTGGACACAGAGTGTGGAGAAACTGTTTAAATAATTAATTACATTGGTAACACAACTACATGCCTATCCAGACGCCTTACATTACACCTATCTGATCATAGATCTATTAGGACCATTTAAAAGCACACACAAATTTACCAGACTCCATCCGAAATATACTAGTAGAAAACACAGACATAATAACCTCATCCACTTTAAAAAAAAAAAAAGATTTAAAATAATTGAAGCCTTAATAATAAAAAAGAAAAAGCCAACACTTAATAATATTAATTACGAACACGGGCACAATGTCCTGTGTTTAGAAAATAAAATATCTCTATAACACTAAAAGCATACACACAACGCATACACTAAATCAAACTGAATTGATATAATTATCCTAGATAATGGCTAAAAGAATAGCCGAAAGCACTCGGAATTATAGAACATTTGGACAGATTCTTTACACTCTTCTTTTTTGGACACAAAGAAGACACTTTGTTCGAACACAAGAAAAAATTAAATGAAAAGCCTAATTATAGTACCTTGTCTGCCATTTTTAATGAAACACGAATAAATGAAGGATTACTGTCTAAATACGATATACATATATATATATATATATATATATATATATATATATATATATATATATATATGTGTGTGTGTGTGTGTGTGTGTGTGTGTGTGTGTGCAGATATCTAGAAAAATCGGAAAGAACGCGTTGGGTAAATAGTCCGGAGATCTTTAGTATTTTTTTTTTTTTTTTTAAAAAAACAGTGCTCCATACAAAAGTAGAGCTTAAATTATAATTATTTAAAAAAAAAGATTCCTTCGCTACATAAGAGTTCTCATGTTTCAAAAACAAGACTCAAAAACCTCAACATAATTATAAAAATTAAATTGAATTAAAGTATCAAGCCCTGTTTCATCCACAAGCGAAAGAGCTTGATACTTTAAGTCAATTTAATTTTAATAATTATGTTGAGGTTTTTGGCTCATGTTTTTGAAACATGAGAACTCTTATGTAGCGATAAATAGTCGTCTAAATTACGCAAAAATGAAAATGACCTGACATATATATATATAGCGTGCGGCACATTTGGAAAGTGTCTGAAAAACATGCCACGGGTTAACCCAAGAGTGAAACTGGATTGACGGAACTCTTCAAGTCATCGTGTCCGAGGGGTTGAGCGTGCTGGCCTTGTTCAAATTGTTGATGGCGCTAGATAACACCCACTCTCTCTCCCACAGAAACTGGGACTAAGGTCTGCTCAGCATAGTCGCAGTATAAACCATAGCTGGGCTCCCTGGCTGTTGAATAGACACAAATGTGTCAGAGCGAGCGTCTACAATAGGGACTGGCTAGCCGCTCTAATAGACGGCTATCAATGAGTGGCCAGCTACAATTACACACACACACACACACACACACACACATATATATATATATATATATATATATATATATATAGATAGACCGAAAGATAGATAATGAACAGAATGAAATTAATAGATAATGATCAGACTGAGATAGATAGATAGATAGATAGATAGATAGATAGATAGATAGATAGATAGATAGATAAAAAGAAAGAAAGAAAGAAATTGTGATAGATCAATAATTTCTACACACTCTTCTTTTTTGGACACAAAGAAGACACTTTGTTCGAACACAAGAAAAAATTAAATGAAAAGCCTAATTATAGTACCTTGTCTGCCATTTTTAATGAAACATGAATAAATGAAGGATTACTGTCTAAATATACAATATATATATATATATATATATATATATATATATATATGTGTGTGTGTGTGTGTGTGTGTGTGTGTGTGTGTGTGTGTGTAGCGTGTGTGACAGAGACAGAGAGAGAGAAGAGAATAAGAGAGATGATGGTCACCATCTTGAAATCAACTAAGACGATCACAAGACATCAGTGTAATTGTACTTTGAACAGGTATGGCTCTTTTGAGCCAGACAATTATTTGAAGATTTTGGCAAATCGCTGAAGGATAGGAGACGAACACATCTGCTGTCATTAGGTATATATATATATATATATATATATATATATATATATATATATATAGAGAGAGAGAGAGAGAGAGAGAGAGAGAGTTTTTTTCAATTGTCATTTATACCAATTTGTCTTGTCCACAGAACTGATCTAGGAATTTAACCGTATTGTCGACATGGAAAAATAAAAAAAAATTCTTAGTATAAAGGAAATTTACATTAACCAGAAAAAGGCTTAGACAGAAGCGTCTATGTTTTTAAAATTGGGATTTTTTAATGTAACTTTAACAACAAAAGATATTTCGATGTCATTTTTGCCTTGAAAAAAGTCGGCAAAATCTAAGTTTTTTTTCCAATTGTCATTATATATATATATATATATATATATATATATATATATATATATATATATATATACAGAAGTAAACAGTTTGAAACAAATTACCCTTTATATAATAAGAAATATATATGCTCTGTTATAATAAATACATTGAGCTCTCTGTGGATTAGTTTTAATATCTGTGATGATAAGGAACCACATGGATTATATACCAAAGGACATATTACCTGTAATATATATGTCAGTCATTGGCGCGTTTATTCACAGAAAAAAGGACACAAAAAATTCGCCTATATTTCAACCGATGCCTTAGTGGGGAAATCTCCGGCTGTTACCGAATCAGTCGGGTTTCGATCCCGGCTTGAAGCAGTCAGATGTCTAACCACATTGATGAAACAGTCTGTCTGTGGATTAATATACCTGACGTGTTGAAACAAAATGGCTATTTTTGTAGTGATTTTATAACATATTTATGTTATAATTTTCGAATAAATTATATATGCTCTACTCAGTACAGAGCACTCTTTTAAGAATAGTATTTTTGGTTATTAGAATTTATTCCCTTTACTCCAATCCTATACTTGATATATATATATATATATATATATATATATATATATATATAATTTCTGTAGTTTATTGCTACCAGCAAGCAGAAATATTTCTTCTCCCGATGATGGCCATTTTGGCCGAAACAAGTCGAGGAATCTAAATGAAATGATAATAAAAAAAGAAAGAATATTAATCTATAACCCAGTGTGTCTGAAGATTTTTAATTTTTGATATTTTTTATTTATTCAATATATATATATATATATATATATATATATATATATATATATATATGATAAAAAGACTTAAACACTAATATTCCATGGTCATAATTTATTCCATTGGAATCGTAAATACGATCCAATTCATCAGACCTACAAATATTTACCACTAATATTAGCTATATATATATATATATATATATATATATATATATATATATATATATATATACATATATATATATGAAAACGAATGTAATATATAAATTCCAACGTTCAACGTTCCAACCATTTTCGATTCTCACCCGTCGAAGTGCAGTTGAAATGCGCTGAATCGAAGTTGCATCTTTGTAGTGAGTAAAATGGTTTTGTCTATATGATAAAATTATAATATATATATATATATATATATACCTGTGTGTGTGTGTGTGTGTGTATACTCACACGCACACACACTCACATTCTTTTCTTTGGTATAGGAACATGAGGAATTTAAAGTGTCTACGCGGTTTCTTATTTTGTCCAGCCAAAACGACTCCAGGCTGTTCCAGCTGGGCGCCGGACATCCGTCCATACTGCCCTGGCCAATAACACTCCTTGTTAATGTCGCATCCCCACAGCGAACCCGACGCTCAGCTTCTCGTATTTATAGATCTTTCGCAATGTACCTAAAACGGAAAGGTGTGCGGAAGCGAAAGCCAGGTATTTAGAGAAAGATACGCGAACAATATGTAGAGACTGGATGAAGACATCTGCGAAACTTTAGAAATTGGTAAGACGTTGTGCCAGTGTGCAGGGGGTGGACAAATGATGGAATAGGTCAGGATTTTTGGAAGGTTTGTTTAGTTTTGGGAAGCTGCTCGAATCGATACGGATAATCATGTCAAACTGTATCAGACATGTGCCAAAAAAACACTGACGAAGCTACATGTAACCCGTTCGTTTACTCGAATAACGGAAAATGCACGGCAGTATGAATTCTGTATTCCCTTCCCCTCGCTGACTCCCATTTCGGCTACTTCTTGTTTATTATTATTATTATTATTATTTCCCTTGGTTTCTGGTGTGTACTCATTTCTTTTGGGGTCCCGACCAGAGACCTCAGGTCAAAAATGGTGTCATGACATTTTGCACTGAGCAATTTAAAAAAAAAATAACGTTTCACATATTTCACATAGATAAAGACCTTCGTAGGCTGTGGGATGTACACCTGAGGCTAATTTTTTTTTTTTGTATTTCTTTAAGGCATGGGCTTCCAAGAAACCCTTCCATACTCCCATTGGGATCTTTTCCAGTCAATCCGAGGGCTTCAACTACAACAAGTATTATTCATGTTCCCATGTGCCACATTTTTGTGATTTCGATTTCAAGGTCCTTGTATTTTGATAGATTCTTCAAAGATACATTGCACTCTGCAGGGACTGCTGTGTCAATAAGGAGGCTATTTCTTTGTTCGCGGTTTCTAATCCCGATGTTAGGGCGATTACATTTGATTGTTCTGTCTGTGTGTATTGAAAAGTCCCATAGAATTTTTACAGATCCTCTCTCCCTAACAGGGTCTGGGGGGTGGGGGTGGTATTCATACCAATTTCCTTCAGTTTCCTTCCCGTAGAAGTTGCAGATTTTCCAGTGCAGATATTGGCCCACTCTGTCCTGCCGGGTTTTATATTCACTCGTTGCCAGTATCTTGCAAGCTCATACAAGATGGCCAAATGTTTCTGAATATTTATCACAGAATATTATTATTATTATTATCCTCATCATTATTATTATTATTATTATCATCATCATTATCCTCATCATCAACATCATCATTATCATTATCATTATCCTAATCATCGTCAGTATTATTATTCATCATCATCATTATCATCATTATTATTATCATCATCACAATTATCATCATTATTATTATTATCATCATCATCATTATCCTCATCATCATTATTATTATCATCATCATCATCATTATTATCATTATCCTAATCATCATCATCATTATCATCATCATCATTATCCTCCTCCACACCATTATTACCATCATCATCATTATTATCATTATCCTAATCATCATCATCATCATCATCATCATTATCCTCATTATCATCATCATTATCACTATCATCATCATCATCATCATCAACCTCACCATTATTATCATCATCATCATTATTATCATTATCCTAATCATCATCATTATCATCATCATCCTCACCATTATTATCATCATCATTATTATCATTATCCTAATCATCATCATTATTATTATCATCATCATCATCATTATCAGTATCATTATTATTATTATTATTATAAACTCCAATGGAACCTGGTCAAGTGGTTAATGCCAATTAATACAATGCAAATCTTGGTTTTCATTATTTATCATTTTTTTATAATGCTTATTTTTACTGAAGCCCATCTTAAATCACCAAATACAAAACATGCATGTTTTAAGAGTTCCACCCAGTTGAGATCAGAAGCCAATAGAAACATGACTGATGTAACATACGGGCTTTTATTATTATTAATACTATTATTACTACTACTTCTTGAAGTAGTAGTAGTAGTAGTAGTATATTCATTGTTATTTTATTAATCGTTCAAAAGACCGCCTGAGAAAAAAAACTAAATTTAGCCCAGTGGAACGAAGAAAAAGGAACACAAACAAATATTTTTTAAACGTTTGAAATCTGGCTAGAAGCCAATTTCTATTCGTATTTTCCCACGAAATATTTCTTTGTGTTTTGCCAAAAGAAGTTTCCTAGTGTCAATGTAACCGGAGTCTATTCATTATATATATATATATATATATATATATATATATATATATATATATATATATTGCAAATTGCAGTTTCCTTTCTGTAGAAGTTCGGATTTTCCAGTGCAAATATTGGGTCACTCTGTCATGCCATGTTTTATATTCAATTGGTGCCAGTACCATGCAGCCTAACACAATATAGTCAATTGTTTCTGGATATTTATCACAGAATATTATTATTATTATTATTATTATTATTATTATTATCATTATTATTATTATTATCATCATCATCATCATAAAATCCAATGGAACATGGCCAACTGGTTAATGACAAATAATGAAATGCAATCTTTGGTTTTGAAAATGTTATTTTTACTGTAGCCCATCTTAATGCAGCAATACAAAATATAAATGTATTAATTGTTCCATCCCAACTGAGATCAAATGCAACGAGAAACATCCAGGCTTTTATTATTGTTATCATTATTATTATTATTATTATTGTTTGAAGTAGTAGTAGTAGTATATTCATTGTTATTTTATTAATCATTCAAAAGACCGCCTGAGAAAAAAACTAAATTTAGCCCAGTGTAACGAAGAAAAGGAAGACAAACAAATATTTTTAAACGTTTGAAATCTGGCTAGAAGCCAATTTCTATTCGTATTTTCCCACGAAATATTTCTTTGTGTTTTGCCAAAAAAAGTTTCCTAGTGTCAATGTAACCGGCGTCCATTCATTATTCATATATATATATATATATATATATATATATATATATATATATATATATATATGACCCTCCGTTTAGAGAAACCTAGGTAGGTTTACCTGGCTCTTTAGTTTTATATTATATTTGCTCTGCTTCGTGTATTGAGCACTTTACGTAATTACTTTTACTCGTTTTGGGTTTTTTTTTCTTTGTACTCTGAGCTTGGATTCTGGTCGATTGTTTTCGCCTCAATTTCATGTTTTTAGTTCTTTTTTTTATTCCTCATATTTCCTTGGGTACTCGGTTGTTCAACTACAAGCCAAAATACTCAAGGTTTTTCCAAGCGAGTACCACCATTTTCATACATACATACATACATACATATATACACACATATATATATACATATATATATATATATATATATGTAGACAAATAAGAGAAAGATGTGTGTGTGCGCGTGTTTGTATTTAGGCTAAACTCCCTTTTATGCGTGTCTGATTGAATAAATTACAGACATTCCGTCTTCCATTTTTTTTTTAAGAAATCCGTTTATACCTTCTGTGTATTTATGTTAAAGGATGAAAGAAATGTACTATAGCTGTTTAAATTTCTTTTATTTTCATTTCCCAAGTACTTTCGATCTTCTTCCAAGATCATCTTCAGGGGTGCAAGTAGTACAAAAGGATATGTCGTTCATTAGTACAAGTAGTTCTTTCGGGGTCCCACCCGGAGACCTAAGGTCAGAAACGCACATTTTTGTATAAATACTTGTACTAATGAACATCATATAGTTTTGTAATATCTGCCTCTGAAGATGATCTTGGAAGAAGATCGAATGTACTTGGGAAATGAAATGCAGATTCAAAGATCAAATTTAATATAAAATTATATATATATATATATATATATATATATATATATATATATATATATATATATATCAGAGGAGTGCACATACCTTATACTAAAGAGCTTTATAACCATAAATACATTAGCAATGAATCGGACCACCCATCTAGAATTTTAAATAACTTGCACAAATCTGTACAACACAGACTCTCAACTAACTCCAGCAACAAAATAATGTTTGACAAATATAAAAATAAATATGGAGATGAACTAAATAAAAGCAAACACAAAGTTAAGCGAAAAATATATTCCAAACATGCCAGTAATAAACGTAAAAATAGAAAACGCAACATAATTTGGGTCAAAAATGTCAAAACCAACATTGGTAGGATTTTCATTAATTTAATCCACAAACATTTCAGCCATAACCCTTTACTCAACAAAATTTTCAATACGAACAATATTTTGATTAGTTACAGCTGCACTAGAAACCTTGAGCAACATATAGCACAGCATAATAACGTAAATTTAAATATTTAAGCAACAATAATAGCAATATTAACACGGAAAAAAGTAATTGTCGAAAAGGCAATAACTGTCCGATGAACAATAAATGTATATATAAAGGCGTCATCTACAAGGCTAGCATTAAAAATAATGATAAATCAAAATTTTATTCCGGTTCCACTGCCAGTAACTGGAAAACAAGATGTTACCATCATAAAATAACTCTTAACAATAAAGCAACATGCAAATACCAGGGTATTCTCTAAATTTTACTTGGGTATTAAAACAAATGACTATACAGCGGTAGTAAATTGGAATTTTGCTGCCAAAACTACACCCTTTTCCGACCTCGGCGACCGATGCAGCTTGTGTTTGCTGGAAAAAACGATTCATCCCACAAAATATTAAAGACCGAAATCTACTTAATAAACAAAATGGACTAATATTAGCTTGTAATCACAGAAAAAAGATGTCTCTTAAAATATTTTAATTCTGGATAAATATATTATCCAAATGCACTTCCCTTATTTTAGGTTACATATTGTTTAATCCACTTAACAATTTTAACGTCTATTATTATTACCTAGTTAACCGGCGTCCCTCTTTTAAACTTTAAGCTTGTAATTTAGCGTTCCTCCCATGAGAACCAGTATATATATATATATATATATATATATATATATATATATATATATATAAGCAAATATATGGATATAGATCCGACAGTATGAAGAAAAATATACGGAAAAAAGAAACAAAAATCTTAATATGCAATTATACTGATTTAATGTTAATATAATGTCAACGTCGGACGTTTCGGTCTAATAGACAATCTTCAGGACATATTAATAAAACATAATTAACATAAACCATATTCAATTCAACATGAAAAAGACGATGGACATAAAAGCAAGACCAATCCAAACAGATAACTGACATTATATTAACATTAAAACAGCATAATTGCATGTTAGGATTTTTGTTTTTTTTCCGTATATTTTTCATATATATATATATATATATATATATATATATATATATATATATATATATATATATATATATATTAAATCGTGCCTGATGAGTTTGTAGAACAACGAAACTGAAGTTGCACTTCGAACGTTAGTATATGTATATTTATTAATGCACACACAAATATACATATATGTATTTGTATGTATTATTGCGGGGTGGCATTTTCTTTTTTATTAATAATGCTTCTATTATTTTAAGCTTTTTTTCCCTACATCTGGATGAGGCTATTTTTATTTGCATTATCAACGAGTATGTTTCTGATAAGGTTTTGGTATGTATTTAAATCAGACCTAATTGAGCTATGGTCAGTGAGATATAACGTGAGTCTTCTGGATAGGCATGTTGTAGTATATCCAGTATAATTATTTATGAATTTAGCTTAATCAAGAACTCAGTAGTGATATTAGATATCTCATGATTTTCCCGAATATATATATATATATATATATATATATATATATATATATATATATATATATATATATACTCTCCCGACGGTTTCGGCGTATGAGGATCTGACAACTTAATTGATTCAGTTATGAAATTTATGCGATAATCTTAAGTGGCACTTATGACCCGCTGGTGATTTACAAAGGAGGCTGCATATGGAGAAAAGAGTGAGGATTGTGGGAAGAGATCACTGTTAGATATGCTGACCTTTTAAATCTTGCTCTTGCTTTTTGAAGACGCTTCAGACACGCAGATTGAAAACACGTTGATCACCACTCTACCCCTTCAAAGCTAAGCGCTCGAGGATGTTATATATATATATATATATATATATATATATATATATATATATATATATATATATATATTAAAAAAAAGAGAGAAACTGCAAACGTTTTTTGCTTATAATGTGATTTGTTTTAGCATATATATATATATATATATATATATATTAAATTATATTTATATTATATACATTACATATATAAAGATGAAAATATAATATATACACTAAAATATGTAACATATATGTAACACACACATATCTATCTATGTATCTATATCTATCTATCTATCTATCTATATATATATATATATATATATATATATATATATATATATATATTTGGTTGAGCGCTTTCTAATAAGTACCATATATATATATATAAAAAATTATACATATATTTATTTATATTTATATACACTTTTCACACACACACACACACACACACACACACACACACACACACACACACACACATATATATATATATATATATATATATATATATATATATATATATATATATAGAGTTTTGTTTCTTTTTTATTAATGCTTCCAATAATTTTAACTTTTCTTTTTATTGGAATCATATTTGTATTGTCAACGTGTATGTTGCCGATGGAGTTTCGTAGGTCTCCGTGTGTATTTAAATTGGACCTAATTGATCTATGGTCAGAGAGATATAACTTGAGTTTTCATGTTATGCATGTTGTACCAAAGAGATGATTGCTGGTATATCTTCCAAGCCATTAGAAATGAACAATCAACTGTCTTACCCACACATTTTTTTGCCTTGAAGTCTGAATAATATAAACAATTTACTGTATCCCTTTTGCCTTATGACACTATTTCTGTCTTTGTTCTTTTTCTTATTATTGTTAATGCGAATTTCGCTAATTTCGCTAAACTATTATTATCAAAATTCATCCTTATCCACATAATCTTCATCCCCTAACATCTCAAATGACGTTAATATGCCACACTTTATTCAATTGCATGTGATTGGCTCTCAAGCCTTTGATTAAGTGAGAATTTTTTAATTCATATATAAGAAGGAAGAACTCAAGTCATGAAACATCTTGTATGATCAAAACAAACATGATAAAGATATTCCTCTCAAGATGTCGTAATATAATGTCACTTCACAGTGCAGTAATAAAAATAAAGCCTTTCGTGGAGACCTGCTATTCTATTTGGAGTTTTTCTTTGGAATTTTCCTCTTGAAATGCAGGAAAATATTGCCAATTGGCAAAAAAAAAAAAAAGAAAAAAAGAGAATTATACCATTCTGCATTTTATTTGATTTTTTTTCTTTTGTTTTTTTTTTGTAAACTTTTCCTTTTCAACAGCTTTTGAAAACAATCCCATCATCCTTTGCGGTATTTTATCTGAAAGCGAAGCGGAAAATCCCACCCCGGGATTTTTTTGCGCTAACTATTGACTTTTTCGTTTAATTCTAAGACGAAAATAATTAAAAGGAAAACGAAAACGGAAAATCAAAAGAAAGAAAGAAAGAAAGAAAGAAAGAATGACAACACTGGTGAAAAGAAAGAAAGAAAGAAAGAAAGAAGGAAGGAAAGATGGGAATAAAAGAAAAAACGAAAGAAAGAATAGAATAGAAAGAAAGAAAACAAAAAGAAAAAAATGGAAGAATGAATATAAACAATAAATAAATGAAAAAAGAAAATAAAAAAGCAGTGCTGAGAAATCATGATAAAAAGAGAAAAAAAAGAAGGACAAATAAAAAGTAGTGAAAAAAAAAATCAAATAAAAACAAAAGAAAGGAAGAAGGAAAGATAGAAAGAGAAATAAGATAAAATGATTTATGACGAAAGAAAGGAACAAAAGAATAATTGTATAAAAGTATAGAACAAAGAAAGAAAGAAAGAAAGAAAGAAAAAAAGAAAGAAAGAAAGAGAAAAGCTGAAGAGAAAAAAAGAAAAAAGGACGACGACAAAATAAGAAAAATAAAAGTAGACAAGAAAAAAAAGTAAGAAAGAAAGCAGTGAAGAAGAGAAAAGAATATAAGGAACGAAAAATGGAGAAGGAAAAATGAAGAAAAGCAAAAATAAAATTAATAAGAAATGAAAAATGAATGCAGAGAAAAAAGAAAATGAGAGAATGAAAAAGAATGAATAAGTATAAAACTATAAAATCACAGAAAGAAAGAAAGAAAGAAAGAAAAAGTATGAAAGAGAACAGTAAAAGAATGAAAAAATATATAAAATTATAAGACTATAGAGAGAGAGAGAAAGAAAAAGTATGAAAGAGAAAATCTAAAGAATGAAAAAGTATACAAGCATAAAGAGAAATAAATAAATAAAGAATGAAGGAGAAAAGCAGAAAAGTATAAAACTATAAAACCACAGAAAGAAAGAAAGAAAGAACTGTTGGTTTTGAAAGAAAGAAAGAAAGAATGAAGGAGAAAAGCAAAAAGTATAAAACTGTAAAACCCCATAAAACAAGAAAGAAAGAAAGAGAAAAACAAAAATATATAAATCTATAAAACCACAGAAAGAAAAAGAAAGAAAGAAAGAAAGAGAAAAGCAAAAAGTATAAAACCACAGAAAGAAAAAGAAAGAAAGAAAGAAAAAGAAAAGCAAAAAGTATAAAACTATAAAACCACAGAAAGAAAGAAAGAAAGAAAGAATGAATGAAATAAAGAAAGAAAGAAAGAAAGAATGAATGAAATAAAGAAAAAGAAAGAAAGAAAGAAAGAATGAATGAAATAAAGAAAGAAAGAAAGAAAGAATGAATGAAATAAAGAAAGAAAGAAAGAAAGAAAGAAAGAAAGAATGAATGAATAAATAAAAAGAAAGAAAAAAAAGAATGAATGAAATAAAGAAAGAAAGAAAGAAAGAAAGAAAAGAATGAAATAAAGAAAGAAAGAAAGAAAGAAAGAAAGAATGAATGAAATAAAGAAAGAAAGAAAGAAAGAAAGAATGAATGAAATAAAGAAAGAAGGAAATAAAATATTTCCTAAATTTTCTGCTTTCAGCGAGAGACGTCTGGGGTGAAAAGAGTGCAGAGGATTGAGAATTGAAAACGAAAAAAAAATGGCGGCGAAAGACTACACATAAAAAAAAGAATTCTCTAACAAAAATTAAGAAATATCATTTTTTTATTCACCAAAAGTATTAAAAAAAAAAGAAAAATTAATTGAAAAGAAATTACGAAAGAAACAAAAACGGAGAGAATCAGACGATATGCGATTTGAATTCAAATGCGTCGGTGTAAAACGCAGTCAAAATGGAGGTGCTCATCGTTCTGTTGATGAACAAGCAAAAGATTGAAGAGCGGTTGTCAACACAAGAAACTCTTCATTCATTTCAATGAATTCTATATATTTTTTTAAGAATGTGTTACGGAGAAGGCGGAGGAATGAGGAAAGAAATTGGCGCGTTTATTCGTCTTGAGTAATGAGAGGTGATTAACAAACGAAGAGACAAAAGAGACTGAATTGTCATTGAAATTATATGAGGCCTTCTGTCTTTCTTTTTCGTTTCTTTCTTTATTTCATTGCTGCCTTTTACTTTTTTATTTTATTTCATTTTTTATTTTAGCTTTCTTTCTTTTTTCTTTTTTTCTTCCGTTATTTTTTCTTTAGCTTCTTTCTCTTCCTCTGTTTTTCTCTTTTTATTATTCTTTTTCTATCTCTTACTTTCTTTCTTTCTTTCCTCTTTTCATTAGTTTTTCTATCTCTTTCTTTCTTTCTTTCTTTCCTTCTTTCTTTCTTTCTTTCTCTTCCTCTATGTTCTCTTTTTATTATTCTTTTTCCATATCTTCTTATCTTTCTTTCTTTCTTTCTTCTTCCCTCTTTACATTATTTTTTACATCTCTTATTTTCTTTCTTTCTTTCTTTCTTTCTTTCTTTCTTTCTTTCTTTATTTATTTATTTATTTATTTATTCAGACACAGTCATTCACTCCTGTAGTTCACTGCTACGAACAAGCAGGTATTTTTTTCTCCTGATGATGGCCATGCTGGCCGAAACTAGTCGAGGAACCTAATTGAAATAATCAAGCAAAAAAATATTAATATACAACCCAGTGTGTCTAAAAATTTAAAATGTTTAATATTTTTTTATTTTTCAAAAACACACACACAACACACACACACACACACACACACACACACACACACATATATATATATATATATATATATATATATATATATATATATATATGAATAAAGGCAAAAGAAAAATTTCTCTTTACCAGCGCGTTTCGTCCTATGATCGACATTATCACAGCAAATGTAAGGATTTTATTTTGACTATTATCTATATTTATATTTATAAACATAAGTAAAATGCTGTTAGGTTTTTAAATTAAAAAAAAAACTTTTTGTCTGAAAACCATGACTGTGTTCTCTTGCTTGTGTGTCATGATGCTGAGTTCTGTTGCCAGATATAGTGACTTCCAGCAACCACCCTCTTGACCCAGGTAAGCCCTACTTCCTCAAGGCACTTGATGTAGGCCTCCGTGTTGAATCTGAGGTCCTGGGCGAAGATGAATGGAGGCATAATACTCCCATCGTTAGTGATCATTCCAATCACCTTCGTAATCACTGTAAGACTCATCCAACTCTTTCTGAGTCCTCTGCACTGTCCTCAAATTAACACCCAAACACTCTGAAATTTTCGTATTTGAGCTTCCGGAGTAAATTGCATCATGGTTCTTTTTTTTCTCTGAAAGATGGTTGCCTAGTGACCCTAGTAAACTGTGCAGTCGACAAAATGAAAAACAAACAATGCGCATGCGCGGAATTAAAAATATAAAATGGCTTTACCTATCGCACCCTATACCCCCTCATATATATATATATATATATGACGGTTCCGTATAGGATACAGGTTCGATTCCTGTCGGAGAACGAATATATTCTATGAAAATTTCTCGGACATTCAGGCCGCTAAATGTTGGTTAATACTGTTTACTATAAAACATAGCATTTACTTAAATATTTGTATCTATAAAAAGAATGTATAAACATAAAAATGTCCTAAAATAATTGTTCATTTCATAATGTGTGACGTCATTTGTTTACATTTGGATACGCTTTGAGCAGATATGAATGTACGTGAGAGATTCATGGATGATTGAAGTTTAAAAGCAGTAAAATCGACCTTGCTAACCGAACGCGCCTCTGGGGCTCAATTGGTTAAAGCACGTCAGGCTAAATGACGGTTCCGTATAGGATACGGGTTCAGATCCTGTCGGAGAATGAATGTTTTCGATGAAAAATTCTCGGACATTCAGGCTGGTAAATGTTGTTTAATACTGTTTATTATAAAACAGAGCATTTACTTAAATATTTGTATCTATAAAAAGAATGTATAAACATTAAAATGTCTCTCTCTCTCTATATATATAAAGCCACGTTTCGTTGTATAGTTTAGACATGTTCTGTCTATTCGTTTTCCATAAATCCTTTCATATTCGCAGATAAGTTTTAGGTGCTATTATTGAAGGACGAGAGAAAATCGCGGTGTTCATATATATATATATTTATTTCTGGGTACTTTCGACATATCAGTGTCATCATCAGGGTATTGTTTATTACAAGATAAATATTGTAGTCAAAGACAGACTGCTGTGTTATCTGAACATTAAACTTACAAATGTAGCGAGGAACTCTGCGTCAGTGCGTAACCGCTGAAACCCTTCTGAAAATTAAAATTTCTTATATATATATATATATATATATATATATATAAGTGAACACTGAGGTCAACGACAGTCTGTTTCGTGCTTCAACGTAATCTTCAGGCTATGTGTCTTGTGTTTTGGCCCGACTGTTTATATAGGCTAGCAATGGTGCATATGGGTAGCAAGGTCTATTGTATTTTCCTACAGTTGGGTATAAATAATTGTGGATCCGAATGACAATATTCATCTTTCACATTTCTAAATGTGCCAGTCGTCTGAGCATTGAATATTGTTATATATAAAGTTGACAAAGATCAACACGGAACAATAGTACGGCTGTTTATATAGGCTGGTCAATAGTGCATTATGGGTAGCAAGGTATATTGCATTTTTCCTAACGGTAAATACTGGATATAAATAATTGTGTATTTGAATGACAATATCCATCTGCAGATTTCTAAATGTGCCATTTGTCTGTGCATTGAATACTGTTGCTATATCTGGTTTGGTGTTCTTACTGTGTATTTTGAGGTTCTTGACAAAGTCCAGAGAAGGATTTATAATACAATTGAACCTGACCTGGCATCTCGTCTGCAGTCACTTTCACACAGACGTGACATGTCTTCCTTCTGTCTGTTCTACAAATGGTAAATTCTCGGGCGCGTTCTTTTTTTACTTGGTACCCAGGCTAAATGAATTTAAGCGTGGTACTAGATTGGCATCTATGTGTCACTGTTTTAATTTTGAACTGGCTAGATGCAACTGCCATTTCGACTCTAACAGTTCTTTTTTCTCGCACTTCGCATCTGTGGAAAACACTTCCAAATTATTGGTTTTCTTATATTTACTATCTTCAATTTTTCTTGAAACCTGTTTTTGTTTTTTGTCTTTTGCTCCACCCTCCTCCCCATTTTCATTCCCAGTAGCCTCTTGCGTCTTAGTGGCATTGTCACCTTTCTTGGGGGTGCAATGATTTTTTAAAAATTCAATTGATTATTCTCATTATATTTACATTCGTAGCTTATTAATCTATTTAGACTTTTGTTTTAAAATAACGACATTAGTACATCTCTCTCTCTTTCTCTCTCTCTCTCTGTATATATATTGTAGTAAAAATAAGCACTAATGCAACAGAAATTTATAAAAACAAGGATCTTTCCATTCATAAACAGGTTCCGGGTTTTTGTATATTATTTGAATTGTTCGCGACGATGGATTTCTCGCCAATTAAATCATTAACCTTTGTATTTGTTTTTTTGTATGAATAATTCATGAATATAATATATATATATATATATATATATATATATATATATATATATATTCCCATCTTGCGTTCTCTTAATTCATAACTTTTCTTCTCTATCTCTGACGTAAGCACAGATATGCTCGAGTGGTGAGGACATTAGCGCTCCATTTATATGAACAGTTTACGGATCTCACAATGATCGATTTTTTTTCAAGGAGGTAAATGTATGGTTGTTGGAAAAAGCAACAGCCCAGCATGCAAATTAAAAATTGGAGAAAACAAAAAGAGAAAAAGAAAAGCAAATTAAATATCAGGAAAGTGTTTTAACAGAGGAGGGAAAGTGCGTCACTAAAATACAAAGGCGCATTGAGATAGCGAAAGATGTCTCCCAAAAGCTAAGCAAAGTATCAAGAAACAGGAAAATGTCATTAAAAACAAAGAAAAGAGTACTGAACTGTTATGTAATATCAGTCCTCATATATGGCAGTGAATGCTGGACAATCTCCTCACATATGAAGAAGAGATTTGAAGCAAGAGAAACAAAGAAAAGAGTACTGAACTGTTATGTAATATCAGTCCTTCTATATGGCAGTGAATGCTGGACAATCTCCTCACAGATGAAGAAGAGACATGAAGCAAGAGAAACAAAGAAAAGAGTACTGAACTGTTATGCAATATCAGTCCTCCTATATGGCAGTGAATGCTGGACAATCTCCTCACAGATGAAGAAGAGACTTGAAGCAAGAGAAACAAAGAAAAGAGTACTGAACTGTTATGCAATATCAGTCCTCCTATATGGCAGTGAATGCTGGACAATCTCCTCACAGATGAAGAAGAGACTTGAAGCAAGAGAAACAAAGAAAAGAGTACTGAACTGTTATGCAATATCAGTCCTCCTATATGACAGGGAATGATGGACAATCTCCTCACAGATGAAAAAGAGACTTGAAGCAAGAGAAACAAAGAAAAGACTACTGAACTGTTATGCAATATCAGTCCTTCTATATGGCAGTGAATGCTGGACAATCTCCTCACAGATGAAGAAGAGACTTGAAGCAAGAGAAACAAAGAAAGGAGTACTGAATTGTTATGTAATATCAGTCCTCTTATATGGCAGTGATTGCTGGACAATCTCCTCACAGATGAAGAAGAGACTTGAACAAAGAAAAAAGAGAAGTCCTCCTATATGAGGAAAAGAAAGAAGAGTACTAAACTGTTATGCAATATCAGTCCTCCTATATGACAGGGAATGATGGACAATCTCCTCACAGATGAAGAAGAGACTTGAAGCAAGAGAAACAAAGAAAAGAGTACTGAACTGTTATGTAATATCAGTCCTCTTATATGGCAGTGAATGATGGACAATCTCCTCACAGATGAAGAAGAGACTTGAAGCAAGAGAAACAAAGAAAAGAGTACTGAACTGTTATGTAATATCAGTCCTCTTATATGGCAGTGAATGATGGACAATCTCCTCACAGATAAAGAAGAGACTTGAAGCAAGAGAAACAAAGAAAAGAGTACTGAACTGTTATGTAATATCTGTTATGTAATATCTGTCCTCTTATATGGCAGTGAATGATGGACAATCTCCTCACAGATGAAGAAGAGACTTGAAGCAAGAGAAACAAAGAAAAGAGTACTGAACTTTTATGTAATATCAGTCCTCTTATATGGCAGTGAATGATGGACAATCTCCTCACATATGAAGAAGAGACTTGAAGCAAAGAGAAACAAAGAAAAGAGTACTGAACTGTTATGTAATATCAGTCCTCTTATATGGCAGTGAACGATGGACAATCTCCTCACAGATGAAGAAGAGACTTGAAGCAAGAGAAACAAAAAAAAAAGTACTGAACTGTTATGTAATATCAGTCCTCCTATATGCAATATCAGTGAATGCTGGACAATCTCCTCACAGATGAAGAAGAGACTTGAAGCAAGAGAAACAAAGAAAAGAGTACTGAACTGTTATGTAATATCAGTCCTCCTATATGGCAGTGAATGCTGGACAATCTCCTTAAAGAGTCCTCCTATATGAAGAAGAGAAAGCAAGAGAAACAAAGAAAAGAGTACTGAACTGTTATGTAATATCAGGAAGTCCTCCAGATATATGAACAGAAACAAAAAAAGAGTACTGAACTGGACAATCTCCTCACAGATGAAGAAGAGACTTGAAGCAAGAGAAACAAAGAAAAAGAGTACTGAACTGTTATGTAATATCAGTATCAGGGAATCTGGACTCCTCACAGATGAAGAAGAGACTTGAAGCAAAGAGAAGCAGATGAACTGTTAGTAATATAGTCCTCCTATAGCTTCAGTATCTCCTTCAATTTCGCACCGCCGTAATGAATTTCCCTGTGTTTTTTCTATAAATACTTTCATAGTAATTGCTCTGATGAGCTTTACTCTAAGGTGCCTGAAGTTTATTAAATTAAGCGCAGTACTATATTGGCGGAGAGGTCTCCTCATCCATATATTCTTCCTTCAGCAATGAGTTAAATATTAGGATATGTATTAGAAAATCATTATTATCTCCCAAAACTCTTACAATCTAACAATATTGTCTGGCTTTAAATAACCTGCGCAAGATTGGTAAGCCATGATAAATCAATCAATTTAATATCTATCTATCTATCTATCCATCTATCTATCTATCTATCTATCTATCTCAGTCTGTTCATTATCTATCTCTCTATTAATCTATCTCAGTCTATTCATATCTATCTCGCTAGCTCGCTCAATCTCTTAATATCTATCTATCTATCTATGAGTTAAATCATTAATCTTTGCATTAGTTTTTGTGTGAATAATTCATGTATTTGTAAATTGATTGCACGTTTATCGTAATTTAAATAACTGATTCAAGTGCGACTTTTGGATAATAAGTGCGACATTACTGTAATTATTGAACAATATAGTTCATGCCACTTTGACAGAAAAATTTACCAGTAAAAAAATTCGTTCATCACCATATATGAACGCACAACCTTTAAAAATTTAAAATCAAACTCAGCGTTTTCCAAAAACAGTAACTCATTTTCAATAGCATTTTCGGATACAACAATACATATATTTTCGTTGTCCTCTTATTACTAAGAGAAAAAAACAAGAACAACATCTATTCTATACCTGAAGATGTCTGTAGGAACAGACGAAAGCTTGTAGTAAAAATAAGAACTAATACGGCAGAAATTTATATAAACAAGGATCATTTCATTCATAACGGATACGGAGGTTTTTGTATATTATTTGAATTGTTTGCGATGATGGATGTCTCGCCATTTAAATCATTAACATTTGCATTAGTTTTTGTGTGAATAATTCATGTATATATATATATATATATATATATATATATATATATATATATATATATATATATATGTGTGTGTGTGTGTGTGTGTGTGTGAGAGAGAGAGAGAGAGAGAGAGAGTATGTAATATATCTGTATTTTATTTAGAATTTTTTTCTTTCTTATTTCCATCACTTTTTTCAAGTAGATATCCCACACTGGGATATTAGAAAATCTGCCAGGAATGGCGAAATCTTCTAAGACCCAGGGCACAAATTTACATTGAATGACCTTGTGATCAAGGCACCCTCCAGACATTTTCATCTGAGTGAAATTTCTCCTTTGATCAGAATTTTTTTTTTTAGGTTAAAATAGAACGAAACTCGTTACACAAAAACCTATTTTTCGACTTTGATCTATCTATCTATCTATCTATCTATCTATCTATGTCTCAATATCTATCTATCTATCTATCTATCTATCTATCTATGTCTCAATATCTATCTATCTATCTATCTATCTATCTATCTATCTATCTATCTATGTCGTAATATTTTAATAGCTATCTATCTATCTATCTATCTATCTATATATCTATGTCGTAATATTTTAATATCTAGCTAGCTTAGATTTTAGATAGCTAGCTAGCTAGCTAGCTATCTAAAATCTAAGTATGTTCATATCTAGCCAGCTAGCTATCTATGTCTCTATATTTTAATATCTATCTATCTATCTATCTAAAACCTAAGTATGTTCATATCTATATATCTATCTATCTATGTCTCAATATTTTAATATCTATCTATCAATCTAAAACCTAAGTATGTTCATATCTATCTATCTATCTATCTATCTATCTATCTAAAACCTAAGTATGTTCATATCTATCTATATATCTATTTGAATCTATTCAATCTGTTCATATCTATCTATAAATCTATCTATCTAAATACATATGCTAATCAAAAATAATATCTATATAAATATGCATATTGCATTTTTATTTTTATTATTTAAAAATGACGAGTCTTAAATGGCTGTCGGCGACATATCTATCTTTTAAAACTGCCTTAGAATATTAATATCTATCTAGCTAGCTATCTATCCAATTACGTATTCTAATCATCTATAATATCTATATAAATATGTATATTGTATTATCTTTCGAGAATATTAAAATAAAAAAACGGCGAATCTTAAATGTCTTTCGCTGACCTATCTATCTCACACTGTCCGTTATCTATCTATCTATCTATCTATCACAGTTTGTTCATTATCTAAGTACATATGCTAATCATCTATAATATATATATCATGCTAATCATCTATAATATATATATATATATATATATATAAATATGTTTATTGCATTATCTTACATAAATATTTAAAAAAAACAGCGAGTTTTAAATGTCTTTCGGTGACCTATCTATCTATCTATCTATCTATCTATCTATCTATCTATCTATCTATCTCAGTTTGTCCATTATCTATCTATCTATCTATCTATCTATCTATCTATTCATCTATCTATCTAACTATCTATCTATCTCAGGTTGTTTATTATCTATCTATCTATCTATCTATCTATCTATCTATCTATCTATCTATCTATCTCAGTTTGTCCATTATCTATCTATCTATCTATCTATCTATCTATCTATCTCAGTTTGTCCATTATCTATCTATTCTATCTATATCTATCTATCTATCTATCTATCTATCTCAGTTTGTCCATTATCTATCTATCTATCTATCTCAGTTTGTCCATTATCTATCTATCTATCTATCTATCTATCTATCTATCTATCTATCTATCTATCTATCTATCTCAGTTTGTCCATTTCATCTATCTATTCTATCTATCTATCTATCTATCTATCTATCTATCTCAGTTTGTACATTATCTATCTATCTATCTATCTATCTATCTCAGTTTGTTTATTATCTATCTATCTATCTATCTATCTATCTATCTATCTATCTCAGTTTGTCCATTATCTATCTATCTATCTATCTATCTATCTATCTGTCTATCTATCTATCTATCTTAGTCTCTTAATATCTATTATCTGTCTTTGTCTCTCACGCTGTCACTTTTATATAATTTTCTTTGTATCTTTTCGAACCCTCTTCTACCCTATTTATCCTTAGCGATCGATTTGTATCTGTTCCTTCCAGGCCCTTGTTTGTTTCTTTTTTTATCTTATTCTTTACAAATCCCCACCTTTTTTTTTTATCTTTTATTGTCTTCCTTTTGTTTATGAAAGCACAAATTGGAGCGTTTCACAGGCAAGGGAGGTAATTGATACATGAAAAACTATCAATGGAGAACACGCTTGGAATAATAGATTTAAAATCGAGCCGAAGAGAGATAAAAATTGCTCAAGTTTGAACGAAGAAGGATGCAAATTTAGAACTGAAATCGTTGCAATGGCAAGCGTTCAATAAGTAAAAAAAAATATAAAAAATTCTACGACTAAATAAGTAAATAAAAAAGAAACGTGAAGAGGCGTTAAAACAATAAAAAAGACGATAAAGGCAAAATGGCGGTGTTTTTTTCTTATTTTTATTTTAATTGTACGCTATGTTTATCTCTGTTCATCTTGGATATTGGTTCTTCCGTCTTATTCGGTGAAGAGGAGATTGAAATTTAACGAATGAACTCAACAGAAGTAAGGATATTGAAAAAAGGAGCAAAATGGCGTAACATCGAAAGTGAACCCACTCAGTGACGAGTTGATAGAATGAAAGAAATATCTGTAAATAAAAATCATATTATTTGATGTTCATACACAATTGGTGAATATCCCCGATTGACACACACACACACACACACACACATATATATATATATATATATATTTTTTTTTTTTTTTTAAGCATTTCACCCCAAGCAAGGCGGGGAGCCACTAGGACGCAAGGGGTTACAGAAAATAGGAAGATCATATAGGAGTGATAGAAGAAAGGATGAGGGTAGTAGATAGATTAAGGCAACTGGAGATGTCGATTGACATTACACTTGAATAGCTGGAGATTATAACTCTCAGGGAAACAGGAGAAGGGAAAGAGTTCCACAGGCGAGAGGTGCGAGACATGAAGCTATTAGAGTAGAAGAGACGGCTACATTTATGAGTTTCGACAGTGAAGGGGTGAGAGCGGGATGCCAGCCTCGTAGGGCGCTTGAACTGATGAAGTTTGGGAACCAGCGAATGCAGTTCCTCGGAGCAATTTCCATGAAAGTATTTGTAGAACAGACAGAGGGAGACGACGGTGCGTCTGAGAAAGTGACTGTAGACGAGACGCCAGGGTAGGGCCAACCATATTACATATCCGCTTCTGGAGCCTATCAAGAACCCAGGAGGCAAACAGAAGGGCGCCAGACCATATATGGCAGCAATACTCCATGCAAGGGCGAATTGTGGATTTGTATATCTGGAGGATCGACTCCGGGGAGAAAAACTTCCTAGCACGGCTCAGGGAGCCAACTTTCCTCGCAGTGGACGAGGCAATTGATTCGATGTATTTATTCCATCTCAGGTCAGCAGTCAACGTGAGACCGAGAAGCCGCAGAGCCATTTGGGTATTTAGGCAGCAATCCTTCTTTCATGCACATTTCAATGAAAATGACAAACTTTTGTTTACTTTTTTATAGAATTTTTCATGCGATCTAATATATATTTTTTTCATTTCGGGTGATAAATTACATAAAAACTGTTCGAATGTTTTTTCGGTTTTTTTACCCGAGCGCTTTCGGCTATACATTTAGCCATTTTCAAGGATTATATTTTAACTGTTAGAATAAGAAATAGTTTTTTGTATGTATGTTTTATAAAATGTTTTCATTTTTCAAAACACGGTCAAGATATTATGTCCATGTTCAAAGTTAATATTATTAAGTGTTGGTTTCTTTGTTTTTATTAATAAGGCTTCCATTATTTTTAGCCTTTTTTGCATGTAGATGATGCTATTATATTAGTGTTGTGAAGAAGTATCTTCCGAATATTGTCTGGTAGGTCTCCATGAATATTTAAATGAGATCTAATTGACCTATTGTCAGAAAGGTGTAGAGTTGGTCTGCTTATCAAACATGTTGTAGTGTGGCCTATATAATTATTTACGAATTTTGATTGATCAGGAATACAATTCTTTAATGGGCATTTAAATTCGTAAATAATATTTGCCCTATTTAATTTTGTTCTAGGAGGTGAATTATTATTTTTAACTATAAGGTCAAAGGTTTTAAATTTTTTATAATAAATAATTAATCTAATTTTTTTGCTATTGTCAATTGGTGTTATACATTTTTTTTTTCACAATTCAGCTGATAATACGAGCATGGAAAAACCGGCCAAATTATCGGCCGAAGGCGCTTTGGATAGTCACCATTACGGACAATTTCTGTACGCCATTAGTTTTTCCATAAAAGAAGACTGTAAGAACATCAGAAAAATTTAATAAAAAAAAAATTAAAAAAACTCATAAGATTTTTCTCGTCTGTCAAATTCAAGGAAACATCTCACGCTAGACTCCTAGAGAGTAACACACAGCGCCCTCTTCGCCTCATGCTTTCCACTGACATGACGTGGAACGACTACATTGAATCGATAGCTGCATCTACTGCAAGGAAAGTTAGGTCACTGTGTCGTGCCAAAAGTTTTTTTCTCGTCAAAGTCCATCTTGCACATTTACAAATCTACAATTCGTAAGTGCATTGAATACTTTTGCCATTTCTGATCTGGTGTCCTTGTTGTACATCTCGAGATTCTTGACAAAATCCAAAGAAGGATCTGTAATGTGATTGATCGTGGATTGGCATCTCGACTCCAGTCACTTTCTCAAAGTTCAGAGATTGTCTGAAGCAATCGTTGTCAAATGCACAAATTGAACTTGAGAACTTGGTGAATGCGGCTTTGGATCGTGACAGCTGGAGGCGTTCCTTCAAAGCAGGTGCAAGTGGATTTGAAGATCAGTGGAAGAAGCATTAGCAGTTGATAAGAGATCTGAAAAAAAGGCCAAAATGTTGAACTCCCAGCGAATGTCGGTATTGAATATGATCTCACATGTCTTCAATGTGGTAAAGATTTTTAGAAATACTTCAGCAAAGGGGGGCTCAAAAGTCACCAGCGACGTCATATGAACCACAACGTCATTAACTACATGTTCAAAGTTCAAAGATTGTCTGAAGCAATCACTGATAAATGCACAAATTGATAAATATAACCTGATTGGGACACACACACACACACACACACACACACACACACACACATATATATATATATATATATATATATATATATATATATATATATAAAGTCATGTTGAATCCTCTTTTCGCAGTTTAAAGGGTCCTGCTTTACACAATATACCTGATAATTACGAGCATGGAAAAACTGGCTAAATTATCGGCCGAAAGCGCTTTGGATTAGTCACCATTACGGGCAATTTCTGTACGCCATTAATCCTTCCATAAAAGAAAACTCTAAGAACATTAGAAAAACTTAATAAAAAAAAAAAACTTATGAGATTTTTTTCGTCTGTCACATTCAAGGAAACATCTCACCCTAGACTCCTAGAGAGTAACACACTGCACCCTTTTGGCCTCATTATTGATAAGAGATCTGTAAAAAGGGCAAAATGTTGAACTCCACGCCTATGTCGGCATTGAATATGATCTCACATGTCTTCAACGTGGTAAAAAATAAAAAATAAAAATACGTAGTGAAAAAGAGTGCGCTTCTATTGGAGACATGATAAGATATTTAGCATTTTGTTCAATTACCCCTCTACCCCATTGTTATTTATTAGGAAATGGTATTGTTTAGTTTCTATAATTTATGTATCGATTTACATCTGCGCTAGGTAATGTCTGGCTGCCGTTTGCTGCCAATCTACGCGTCATGACCCATTTATGAGAAAAATAGTATTTTTTTTTTTTTAAAGTTTTGCTTCTTCGTTTATTTTAAATTTAAACTATGTCATATTTGATTAGTTGATCAGAGTAAATCCGAGAAACTGTATACCCCACCTTCTTTTTCGTAAAAAGAGGTTGTATTTTCGTTTTAAATCTAAATAAATCCTTCACTCGCCAGTAACTTACAATCGCTTGATGAGACGCATAGGTACACATCGAAACATGACAACAATTGTGTAGCGATTTTGATATGTTTTCGGTGTAATGTATATATATATATATATATATATATATATATATATATATATATATAGTAACCTAATGAAGGGTTTGAAAATATGTGTAGCTAATTCCAAACAGGATGTGATCAGAGAGCTCAATATTATACCAGAGCAAATATTAAGAGACAACATTAAGGTTCCATGACTGTAATTTATTTCCTTGGTAACTAGTTATATGACCTGATGAAGAGGTGAAAATATATTTTCTGGGGAAATAAATTATAGTCATGGAACCTTAAAGTTGTCACTTTCTTAATTATTTAGTTAATTTATATACATACATACATACATACACACACACACACACATATATATATATATATATATATAATTTATTCGAAAATTATACGAGAAATATGTTATAAATTCACTACAAAAATAGCTATTTTGTTTCAACACTTCTGGTGTCTTCTCAAGTGATGCTGTTGAATATAGAATCTAGTCATTGCGTTGAATATATATATATATATATATATATATATATATGTATATATATATATGTGTGTGTGTGTGTGTGTGTGTGTGTGTGTGTGTTATAAATTAACTGATTTAAAATATGGCGAACGAACCATATTTTTAAGCAGTTAATTTATAATATTTATGCTCTGTAAATTTACATTGAGCACTCTTTTGTAAAAAATAAAAATATCAACAAAAACACCGGATTATATATCTTACTGTTCTTTCTTTTTTATTACAATATATATATATATATATATATATATATATATATATATATATATATATATATATTTAATTTTATTTGTTTATACGTTATTTTAAATGATTACTCATATTTGAGTAGATACCCTGTTCTTATTTATTAATAAATAAAAAGAGTATCTACTCATACATGTGTACCCATTTAAAATAACGTTTTAAAATAAAGCAGAATATTCCAGAATTCTTGATAGAAAATATGCGCCCTGATAAATTTGGAGAAAGATAATGAAATGAATGGTGGGGTTTGGGTTATAAGAGGAGGACCACGGTAACACTGCATGATAAAAATCTTTTATCCGATGTTTCTAACCTCCCCGCCACTCTACAAATAAACCAGCACTTCTTTTAGACACTGGTTTCTCAAATATTACTTTAAAAAAAATGAAAAAGATGTAATATTGGTTGTTGAGGAGGAAAAGAGAAAATAAAATTTAAATAAAGAAGAAAAAAAATTAAGCTTATCGAGACGATAAAAATCAAGAAAAGAAAAGAAAAAAAAACAAATTAAATACGTTTTCAAAAAAATTGGTTTGTAAAAATTTCAAAGAATATGGAATGGATTGTTTTAAACATTTTCGTATTTTGTGACAGCTGCGAGTGAAGCGGCCATGAATAAAGAGGCGGGAAAATAGTGTCGTTTCCGGTCGGCCATTGTTACACTGTCGTTCTTCACTTCATTTCTCTCTCTCTCTCTCTCTCTCTCTCTCTCTCTTCTCCTTGTCTCCCCACTGTAACTTACTTTCAGTTTTCCCCACCCACAACTTTCACAACTCTGTTCATGTTTTTTTTTTGACAGCAATCCGCACACCTTCGTAATTTCTTCTGGCCTGCATATCTCAGACAGTTTATATGCAATTACCAATTTTTCAAGAGTTCATTTTATTTGTCAAATACACATACACATACACACACGCACACATATATATATTATATGTGTATGTGTGAATATATATATATATATATGTGTATATATATATGAAATATATATATATATATATATATATATATATATATATATATATATATATATATATATATATATATATTTCAATTATAAGTGCAATTATAATTTATAAATTATGAATCATTCATACAATAAAACAAATAGAGTGGTTAATGATTTAAATGGCGAGAATACATCTTGGGGTTGGTGTATCTTTTTGATATTGTTTGCGAAGATGTATTCTCGCCATTTAAATCATTAACCTCTCTTTTGTTTTATTGTATGAATGATTCATGAATTTATATATATGAATATATATATATATATATATATATATATATGTATTCATATATATATATATATATATATGTATATATATATATATATATATATATATATATATATATATATATATATATTATAATTATTATCATTATAATTTAGGCTCTACTTATGTATTGAGCACTTTTGTATCGAGCACTGTTTCTAAAAATGATTAACCTAGCGTGTTCTTTCGTATTTTTCTATATATTTGCACGCACGCCCCCACCCCACATTATGTACCATGTGTGATACACGTATAGGCGATCATATATCTTTCGATACATGACTGACGATGCAGATTTTTTTTTTACCGCAGTAGGTTGCCATTTCTTTCTGCAGCAGACCAGTTGCAATCTAAGGCTACAGAACCCGGTCTATGCTGCTATTTACCCATAGCTGGGGAGGGAGAAAAATTCATATCTTTCTCAAGAATATTAGCACCTAGTTCTGTTTCATTCTCAAGCGAATTTTGGAATAACAAATTTCGAAATTTACGGAGCTTTATAACCATAATTTCGTAATATTAATTTCTATGGAAACGGAGAAAGCCAACCATTTTAATAAGGGGCGGGAGGGTTTACATTTTCACTGACAATTTTCAGTGAAAATGTAAACCCTACACCTAAAGTTTTTTAGTGCCTGTTTTTGAAACATGAGAACTCTTATGTAGCGATGGAATCATATTTTTCAAAAATAATTATAATTTAGACTTTACTTGTGTATTGAGCACTGTTTTTTTTTTAAATAAAACAAAAATACTAAAGAACTTCGGATTATTAACCTAACGTGTTCTTTTCCTAGTTTTCTATATATTACACACACACACACACACACACACACACACATATATATATATATATATATATATATATATATATATATATATATATATATATATATATATATATATATATATATATATATATATATATATATATAGTAATATCTATATTCGACTGGTGGAAATAAACTCTGATATCACAATTTGCAAATAAAAATATACCTACAGAAAATGGTATGAGGTAAAAAAATTCCGAAAAAAAGAAAAAAACTAAAAACATCGGCGTTAGTAAAAAAAAAAAAATCACCCGATATCACAACGACTGACCAAAAGAGAAAAAAAAACACTCGAGTAAAAAAAAAAAAAGACGTAAAAGTGTTCGATATACTAAGTTGATCAAAAATGTAAAAGAAAAAACAAAACAAAAAAACAAAAAATTAGTGAACCAGGAACTAACTACCAAGGTTTCACCTAATGGATCTTTAGTATGCAACTGGCCAACATCCGTTAGGTGAAATCTTGGTACGTAGTTCCCAACTCACTAGGTATATATATATATATATATATATATATATATATATATATATATATATATATATATACACCAGTATATTTTTCTCTACATATCTCACTCTCTTTTCTATCTGTCTGTCCATTTTCACACTCCACACACACACACACACCCTAACACACACACACACACACACACACACACAGATACACACAGATACACACACACACACTTATATATATATATTTCAGCTATATTTTCGCTGTCTTGGTTTCTCATTCTCTCTGTCTTCATGTCTATATATATATATATATATATATATATATATATATATATATATATATATATGTTTATATACATATATATATATGTGTGTGTGTGTGTGAAGGGAGAGAATGAGAAACAAAGACAGTTAGACAGAGAAAAATATGACTGACATATATAATATTTATATATATATATATATATATATATATATATATATGTATATATGTGTGTGTATATATATATATATATATATATATATATATATATACCAGTCTTTTTTCTCCATATCTCGCACTCTCTTTCTATCTCTCTATCCATTTTTCTCCACACACACATACCCTGACACACACACACTGACACTATGCAGAGTAGAGTTTAAAAATAATTTATTATATATATGCACACACACACACACACACACACACACACACACATACATATATATATATATATATATATATATGAAGCTTGAGAGAATGAGAAAGAAAGACTGCTAAATTAAGAGACAAAATGACTAGCATAACTATATATATATATATGTGTGTGTGTGTGTGTGTTATAAATTAACTGTTTTAAAATATGTTTTAAAAATTATATTTTAAATCAGTTCATTTAGACTATTTATGCTCTGTAAATTTACATTGAGCACTGTTTTGTAAAATAAAAATATCAATAAGAACACCGTATTATATATCTTACTGTTTTTACATATATATATATATATATATATATATATATATATATATATATATATATATATATATATATATACTAGAAGGCTTCTGCAAAGTAACATATATTCGGTACTTAAAATCTTTGAAACAAAAATTTCAAATGAACATTTCATTCACAAATTGGCTTGTTATAGTTAGGGAAAGTTTTACAAATAGATGCCAACTTGTTGAATGTCAAGCAAAATGTAATGTCAACGACTTTTCTTTACTATATAAGCTAATATTCCGAAACAGAACTATTTTTTAATAAAAGAACACTAATGAAGCACAGTTAAAAGATGAAATATACTATTTTCTAAAATTATTATGGAAATTAGTTACACCTGAATAGTGATATCGCATTGAAGTAGATAATATATAATATAGATATTGAGCTTTTATTGTGTACCTTACTTTTTTTGAGTAGGTACACGTTTGCTTATCATCTCTCTGTGGCGTCTCTGTCTTTGGGCAGAGTGCGCTCAGGGGCTTCTCCGTCAAAGAGATAGAGGAGCAACTGAGGTAAATAATACTGAAGAGGTGCCCAGCCCTGGGGAACAGCTGCCCGAGGCCGCGCCCTCCCATTGCACCAGAGGGCCGGATCGGTGCTCGCAGTTGCGGGGTCTGATGGGAATTTTTGTTCCTGTCCCGGGCGTACGCGCTCGGGCTCCCCACCTAAAAATAGACCTTGTCTCACATATAAATTCTCCCCTGTTCTGTCACCCATGAAATAAAAATAATTGTTCGTATGGAAAATGAGGATCTACATACATAAAATCTTCTTTAAATTATATGGCAGCAAAACAATTATTGTTGAACTTTTAAATGGTAAGCTTAAACATTAATTCAGTACTTAAATGCAGCGATCAATTTTGAGTTCTTCTGTAGTCTATTGATGCCTATCGCACCTACTCCTGCCTAGCTATTATGATGATGGCCAAACCAAGAGTCCTCCACGGGCGGCATTTAAGCTAGCTTGAAATTTTAGGTAGCTGAAAATTTTAAGCTAATTCGAAATTTTGTATGCAAAAGGAAAATAAGAGTTACTCCCCTTGAATCATGAAAACAACGATACTGGCTAGTATAATATATTAATATATATTTTTAACCTCGCATAATCTGGCAACCCTGAATCTGAGCTCAATGAAAATCGTTCCGTGCGCCTAACTTTTGTAGGGCTTTTGAATGAGCAATGAATCATTGAGATCCGACAAGTGGGAGCGGAGGAGTTGCTTGAACACACGCACAAACCCTCAGATATACACTGTAATTTATATATAAGATTATAATCTACATTTAATAACAAAAGGTTAAGACCTTCCAGCTGTAAGAAGGTTATTCTTTTTCTTTTCATTACCTTGTATGATAAAACGGCATGTTGAAAGTTAACCTTTTGTCATTGCATTTACAAGCTCTAGAGCTACGGTGTCCCGGGCCTGATATTTGATTTAATCGTTCATACCGAATTACTTGTTGATCATTTCACTAATACGGAGGGTGGGGGTGCTCTAATGCTCTGTCCTTGAACCTAACTTGTTTCTTATCTTTATCAATGAACTGCCAACTTTTTTAATGCGCATTTTTGTCCCAGACTCGTGTCTTAGAAGTTTATTTATTCCTCATGTTTAATCTCTTATTTATTCATACAGATTCCATAATATAGGTTTTAATTACCTATCATATTTCTCTAACTCTTCAAATGTTGAATGCATAACTAATTCTAATTTCTATTTTCCCATCTTTACGCTATATTAATCTTCTCTAAATACACCTGTTCTGTTACCCATGAAATAAAACTAATTGTTTGTACGAAAAATAAGTATCTAAGTACATCACGTCGTCTTTAAATGGTAGCAAAAGAATTATCGTTGAACTTTTTAAAAGTAATCTTAAATATTAATTCAATACTTAAATGCAGCGATCAATTTTGAGTTCTATAGTTTATCGATGCACAGAAACTAGCTTAAATTGCCCTTTGCAGCTAGCTTAAAATTTACTTACTAGTTACCGGCAATTTTGGATGCAAAACGAAAATAAGAGTTACCATGAAAGCAACGATAATGGCTAGTATAATATATTAATATATATTTTTAACCTCGCATAATCTGACAACCCTGACTCTGAGCTCAACGAAAATCGTTCCTTGCGCCCCACGTTTCTAAAGTTTTTGAATGAGATATGAAACATTGAAATCGGATCAGTGGAGGCGGAGGAGTTGCTTGCACACAAACACATACACTGTAAATATATATATATATATATATATATATATATATATATATATATATATATAATATTTTTAAAAATATTTCTTCGCTACATAAGAGTTTTCATGTTTCAAAAACGAGAGCCCAAACCATCAATTCAGGTTCCTAAATTTTCGCTTGAGGATGAAACGGGACCCAACACCTTGATTCAACTTAATTTTAATAATTATATTGATGGTTTCGGCCTCGTTTTTTTGAAACATGGGAACTCTTATGTAGCGAAGGAATCATATTTTAAAAATATTATTATAAAGCTCTACTTTGTATGGAGCACTGTCTTAAAAAAAAAACAAAAATACTAAGGAACCCGGATTACTTACCTGAAACGTTCCTATTTTTCTGCATACTTGCGCATATATATATATATATATATATATATGTATATATATATATATATATATATATATATATAGTGAGGGAGAAGTTAAAAGGATTTTTATTAATTAATCGGAAAGATTTTATCACTTAAACGTCATTTTCTGACGTCCCGTTTATTTATTAAAAAGTATATTTATTTATTTTTGGCTAATAAATAAAAAAAAAATCCATTTCTTCTTTTAGAAATTGCTTTGTTTACGTTTGGATATGAAACTGAATAGAGATGAACATTTCGATAATCTTTGAAGAAATTTGCGCTTAAGGATATTATTCGATTTGGCTCGATCGGCGAAGTCATTCGTGGCCGAGTTTGTATAAAGCATGTCGGATCTAACAACAGTTCCTCCTGCTAGGTGACAAATCGTTTCTTTAATAAGATTTCTCTAACATTCAGGCCGGTAGACGAAAATGAATAAATATACTGTTTAAAAAAATTAACGGAGCTTCTACTCAAATATGAGTAACCACTAAAAATAACATGTGAATATATATATATATATATATATATATATATATATATATATATATATATATCCTTCATATCTACAAATCAACCATTCGCCCTTGCATGGAGTATTGCTGCCATATATGGTCTGGAGTCCCTTCTGTTTGTCTCAAGGCCCTTGATAATATCCAGAGACGGATATGCAATGTAATTGGCCCTGATCTGGCATCTCGTCTACAGTCGCTCTCTCACAGACGTGCCGTTGCTTCCCTCTGTCTTTTTTACAAATACTTTCACGGTAACTGCTCCGATGAGCTGCTTTCGCTGGTTCCCAGACTTCATGAATTCAAGCGCCCATCTAGGCTGGCATCTCACTCTCATCCTTTCACTGTCGAAACTGTTAAATGTAGCCGTCTCTTCTACTCCAATAGCTGTATGTCTCGCACTTCTCGCCTGTGGAACTCCCTCCCCTTTTCCTGTTTCCTTGATATCTATAATCTCCAACTATTCAAATGTAATGTCAATCGACGTCTCCAGATGCCCTGATCTATCCCCTATCCTTCTCTTCATCCTTTCCTCTATCACTCCTCTTTGCTCATGCTCCAACTCTCTGTAACCCCTTGCGTGCTAGTGGCTTTCCGCCTTGCTTGGGTTGAAACGCTTAATACACACACACACACATTCATAGATAGATAGATAGATAGATAGATAGATAGATAGAAATTAAGGAGTATTTGAGATGATCATAATTAAGTAATTCATCGAGTATAGAAGAAACCTCAACAGAATGTAGAAAGCACTAGACGGCCGTTTCGTCCTATATTTGGGACATCATCAGCAGTGCGAATCTTACTTTCTTATTTTCTTTCTTCGTTTCTCTTTTTCTTTCTCGTTTTCATTTTATCTTTCCTTCTCTTTTTTATTCTTTCTTTCCTTTCTTCATTCTTTCTTCATTCTTTCTTTCTTGTTTCTTTCTTTCTCTTTTTCATTCATTCTTTCTTTCTTGTTTCTTTCTTTCTTGTTTCTTTCTTTCTCTTTTTCATTCATTCATTCTTTTTTTCTTTCTTTTTCTTTCTTTTTTTTTTTTCTTTTTTCTTTCTCTTTTCTTTGTTTTTTTCTTTCTTTCTTTCTTTTCTTGTTTCTTTCTTTCTTGTTTCTTTCTTTCTCTTTTTCATTCATTCTTTCTTTCTTGTTTCTTTCTTTCTTGTTTCTTTCTTTCTCTTTTTCATTCATTCTTTCTTTCTTGTTTCTTTCTTTCTCTTTTTCATTCATTCTTTCTTTCTTGTTTCTTTCTTTCTTGTTTCTTTCTTTCTCTTTTTCATTCATTCTTTCTTTCTTGTTTCTTTCTTTCTTGTTTCTTTCTTTCTCTTTTTCATTCATTCTTTCTTTCTTGTTTCTTTCTTTCTTCTTTTTCTTTCTTTCTTCATATTTTGTTTTAGTTTTTCTTTCATACTTTCTTTTCCACAAAATTAATTTTCTTTTCTTCTTTTCCCCCTTCTCTTTCTTTTCTTCCTTTCCTGTACTCTTTCTTCTCTTTTTTTTTTTTTTGGGGGTGATTCGGTTTTTCTTTCTTTCTTTCTTTCTTTCTTTCTTTCTTTCTTTCTTTCTTTCTAATATCTCATCATTTTTCCATCTCTGTTTCTTCATTCTGCTTTCCATACCTTCATTTTTTCTTCCGAGTTCCCCCCTCCTTTCATTCCTTCCCCCTCTTATCTATTTCCCTTTTTTCTTTTCTTCTCCTCCCCTTCGTTTTCCCCTTTCACTTTTCTTTCTTTTCCTCCTCCTTTCCTCCACCTTATTTTCTTTCTTTCTTTCTCTCTTTCCTCCTATCCTTTCCTTCAGCTATTCCTTCTTTTTTTTCCCCCTTTTTTTTTTCTTCCTTCCTCTCAAATCCCTTCTTAGGATTCTTTTCTTTCTTTCTCTTTCCCGCTAATCTTTCTCCTTCATAAATGTCTCCCCGCCCTCCTCCACTCTTATTTTCCCCCACCCCCGACTTCCCCCGCAACCTTGTTTCGGTAACAAGTCAAGAAAGAATGTGCTTTTAAGTGGAACACACACTGAAAAAAAATCCATTATTCTTTTTCTAATTGGTAAAAGGCTAAAAACAAGATGGCATCTTTAGTATCTTGCGCAGAGGAAAGACACATTAGTTAAAAAAAAAAGGTGTGGGGGGTTAGAACGTCTCTGGTCATGTGACTAATTGTGAATAGGGGTGATAGGATGTGGGGTCTAGCAAGACACAACATTTAACTCAACACTGTCAGTCATGGTAATAGTATTCAGTACTCATCTACTGCATTCATTCACCTTTGACAATTACCCAGGACTACTTACGAATAGATCTGTCCATGCATAATAGTAAGGGGCGTTCCCTGGCTCTTACCAAAATAAGGGGGAATGATAGTAAAATGTGAGAGTGCTTCCAGTCTGCAAGTGAAATCGGTTTAGAGTTTTTTCTTTTTTTTAACTGGAAATCTAGCAGAAAATAAAACTTGCCACGGGATCCTGGTGATTGCTACCAGGAAGCTCAGGTTTAAAGACGCAAACAACCTATATAAATAAATGAGAATATCAGTGTGTCAGTGTGTCACACTTTTTCAACTTTATTCCTAGACGCCGTAACCCAACATATCATACCATTTTGGAAGACAAGCCGACTCCGTGAGCAAATTAAAAACATTCCGGGCCGGTTTCGGACCCACAATCTTGAAATTTTGGATTCCAAAGTTTTCATGACTTCGATTGTTTTCGGCGATATTTTTTCTTGATTTTTTTTTTTTTTTTTTTTTTTTTTGCGACGAATTTTCTTGTACGATGAAAATTTTTATTACTGAGAAATAACTTTGGAAATAATCGAAATTAATTGTGAAATCCAGCGAAAAATAATTGTTTGTACGGGAAGTAAGGACCTACGTGCATCAAACTGATATATAGCAGAATACAATAACGCAACACTCAAACAGTAAAGAGATGAAGGTAGAAATAAATAAAATGGCGGGGGATGAGGTAAAAATTAAAATAAATGAATAGGAAATTATAATTTTCCTGAGAAATAAATCTATCTGTGATATAACATGCAGCTATCATGACGATGGCGCTGAAGATGAGACCAACTACATTAGCGTAGAATTCCTTTAAAACCATGCAGGTGAAATCATCAAAGCGAAAAACGACATCATCCAAGTACTCAGCAGATTAATTCTCACACAGATGTGAGAAAGATACCGGCTCCAAAGTATAATAAGCAAATTGTGCAAATATACAACGCTACACTGGAAACATTGTTAACGGAGAAACTTGTGGGGAACATCACAGAATTTAACAATGTCATCCACGCAACAGATTTAGCAGTTCCTGGGAAGCTTGGGGTTAAGACAATGAAAAATTTAACAAAGAGAGCCAGCTTGGAAGGCAAAACTGATGCTTGAAATAAAGGAAATGTGAGATTTCCATATTAAATGAGCTCACTAGAAATTAAATATTAGGTATTATGTACACTATTTACATTATTCGGACTATTGTCATCATCTTATCGCCATATTTATCACAACGTTTCGGCCCTTCAGTGTCTGTCTATATTTCTGAGATGAGGTATTATGTACACTATTTACATTATTCGGACTATTGTTCTCATCTTTGTCGCCTTATTTATTACAACGTTTTCTAATTTCACGTGCCACGTTTAATGGATGTCAGTTATCAGTTATCTCCTGTTAATTTCCCTCTAAAATTTCTTCACTGCCCTAGCCGGGTATTGAACTCACGCTCTTTGAGTCCTGTCACTGCATCTAACTAACTGTGCCATGTGTCCTTGAAGACCCAAAGAATGTGACTTCAGTAACCGGCTAACGCAGTGTAAGTGTCGCAAATTTTCCATTGCAGATATTGGCCTTCGCTGTCATGCCGGGTTTTATATTCAGTGGGTGCCAATACCGCACAACCTGATACAAGATGGTCAATTATTTCTGGATATTTATCACAGAATCTGCATTTTGGACTGTCACAATTTTTCAGTATGTCCGCTTAGTAATTTCTATTTAGCAAGCATTGTTCCTGTGCAAGAAGAATAACACCTTTGGTTTCACTTTTCAACCCTGTACTACGTAACCACTAATGGGAACGTGACTCGTCTACATCAGCTTATTAGGTACGGGCAGAGTATTGACTGTGAAACGGTTTATCTTGCCACCGTTTCTGTATGTAGTCGGTTGCCTTTGCTTTCTCTTTTAAGTATTTTGCAGCTTCAGTTGGTGTATTCTGCTTTACTTCACCCACTTGCAACTCCATTTTGAACTTGTTGGCTTCCTTTATTACCGAATAAAGTCGCTAAATACTTTCACGTTCTTTGACACATATCATCATCCTGTTTTCTGTAGTTTCTGGGCATCTTTGAAGGCCAATTGTTGTACTTTTGTAAGACAGTTCTAGTCGAACTAATCCTCTGCCTACTTTGGATTTGGGCACATACAGACGATCGACATCAGCCTTGGGATGATGCATGAGATGGCAGGGGAGACGCTTTCTCATTTTGGCGTCCATTCGCGTAATGTCAAATATGGTCCAGTTAAGAATGTTGGAACTGTATTGCACTGCAGGGACAGCCAAGCTGTTTATGGCTGATATTCTGTTACTTGAATTCAGATCGGTATTCAATACCAGATGCACATGCCTGTAGTACTCCTTTCTTACTTTCTCCTTCATTTGGGTATGTTGTATTCTATCACCTTCGCCAATTCCTAGGTACTTATAGACTTCATCTTGTTCCAGTTCCCTAATCTTTGCGACAAAATCTAAATCTATTCCATATGTTTCTGTAGTCCTCCCTTTCTAGAATGTTTCTTTTGTACATTTATCTAATCGGAAATACATATCGATGTCATCACTAAAACATTTTACCGTATTGTGAAGATCCTTCAACTCATTGTTGTCTTTGGCAAACGATTTTGAGATCATCAATGTATCGTAGGTGATTAAAGACATTATTTTGTAGTTATTACCGTTTAGTTCAAGAACAAACAAAACAGGTTTTTACAAGCAGTCTCCTTGAAAGATTCCTCGTCGGATATCCAATCGATTAGAGATGGCAGTGCCTCCGGTGTGATTTAGGTATAATATGGTTTTCCACATTCCCATGCTGTGTTTAAAGAATTTTACTATCATGGGGAAGACTTTATTCATTTCCAAAGTCTTAAATATCCAAGAGTATGGCATACTATTAAAGGCTTTATGGTAATCTATCTAGAATTCTACAATTCTGCAATTTTCCAGGATCATTTTGTTTGTCAGTAGTTGATCTTTGCAACCATATGGACCACTCTCTTCTGTTCCAGTGGAAGAATGTTGTTTGTTTAAAAAAAAAAAGAGTAAGTAGAATTCATCAGAACAGACGTTATCAATTTATACGTGGTGAACAGACATGTTATTGGCCTATAATTTTCCCAGTTATTTGTCTCCCTTGTTTTTGGCACGATATATGCAATAGCTTCAGTTATCCATTCTGGGATTTCATTGAGATTATTAATAAGCATTGGTAGAGTTTGTGCAAGGGTTTTACGGTTTGATAAGAGATGATAGAGCCAGAAATTGGGCACCTTGTCATTTCCTGGAGATTTTTATTTGTGGGATTTTGTTAGGGCTTGCATTTATTTACATTGTTCGGACTACTGTCCTCATCTTTATTGCCATATTCATGAGGTTTCGGCCGTTGTACGGTCGGTCCTTCTTCAGAATTTGTCTATATTTCTGAAATGACGTATTGTAATTATTTACACTATTTACATTGTTCGGGCTGTTTTTCTCATATTTATTGCCATATTCACGGCGTTTCGGTCGTAGTAAGCCCCAGCCTTCTTCAGGACCTGTCTATATTTCTGAGATGAGATACTGTAATTATTTACACTATTACATTGTTCAGACCGTTGTCCTTATCTTCATTGTCATATTCACCACGTTTCGGCTATTTTATGCTCCGGCCTTCGTCAGGACCTGTCTATATTTGTGAGATGAGATATTGTAATTATTTACACTATTTACATTGTTCGGACTGTTGTCCTCATTTTTATTTTAATATTCACGATGTTTCGGCTATTTTACGCTCCAGCCTTCTTAAGGTTCTGTCCATATTTCTGAGAAGAGGTATTGTAATTATTTACACTATTTACATTGTTCGGACTGTTGTCCTTATCTTTGTTGTCATATTCACAACGTTTCGGCTGTTGTACGCTCCGGCCTTCTTCAGGATATCTCTTTTTTCAATTATTTTTATTTAGTAACTGAAGCTTTTGTTCATCTCTACTATGGACAGGTATTGAACTCACAATCCTTGCCGTCAAATCACTGTATTACTTAAACCAACGCTTTTATCCACAGAGCCATGTGTCCTTGGGGCAATAAAGATGAGGACAATAGCGTGAACAGTGTACATACAGTGTAACCCGGATATAAGAGAGTTGTCGGGACCGGAGAAGAAGTCTCTTATATCCGGGTTTCTCTTATATCCGGGTTTGGTCTATTTTATATACATTAACACCGGCTCTAATTTGGGACCAGAGACAATATCTCTTATATCCGCGTTTCTCTTATATCCGGGTCTCTTATATCCGGGTTACACTATACTGTTAGTATAATTAGTTACAATACTTCATTGTAGAAATATAGACAGACATTGTGGAGAGTTATTTGGATACTTCTTCGATACCAGTGATTGGTTCTATACAATTCTGCGATCAAATGGTAAGTGTAGGTAGTCTCAACTACTGAGATTTCATATGTCGAAATCGATAAGAGACTCTACTAAAGTGAGCGGCCCGATGCTTCAAATCGACTTGAAAATACATTTAAAATTCCGGGTTTTATAGCCTCTTTTGGCATAAGTATATATATCGATCGATTTGAAGATGTCTGAATAAGAGGTCATTTTTCATTAATTAATGTGGGGGTTCTGACTACAATCGCCATCTTCCCCATCCTTATGGACGGGCTGGTAATAGTCGAAGCAATCGGAAGCTCGATTTGTTTCATGAAAGTGACAGTAATGGCAAAGATCTCCTAAAGACTGGAATTTTAAATGTTTTAAAAAAATTAAAGTATCGACCTGTATTTTATTTTCTAGTTCTTGTTCTAGTTGTTATATATATATATATATATATATATATATATATATGAAGAAATATAGTCATAAGATGTGCTATATTTTGGGGATAAAGTGCTCAATATGAGAGATAGAGCGTGTGTAAACATAAAAATGAACATAGAAGTCAACACTTAGAGTCTGTTTCATGCTACAGGCAATCGTCAGGCCACCGGGTTTTATAGCCTCTTTTGGCATAAGTATATATATCGATCGATTTGAAGTCTAGCATGAAACAGACTGTTGCCTCTAAATGTTGTCTTCTATATTCACTTTTATATATATATATATATATATATATATATATATATATATATATATATATATATATATATCATACTTATCATAAAACCCAGGGTGCATGTGTGTGTCTGTGTTTATTTATTGCATCAAATTTCCTAAATTTTTCAACCGATTTCAACAAAACTTCACAGGACTACGTAAAATTACCTTGCGGTGGTACTGACAGCGCCAAAAATTGGAAAAACACAATTATTTTTGCACGAAATCAATTTGAAAACACGATTAAGAGGCATCGTGAAAATGAAAGGGGGACAACTCATATCGAGTTATACTTATTATAAAACCCAGGTTGTTTGTGTGTGTGTGTGTGTGTGTGTGTGTTCGTTTATATATGGGATCGGATTTCCTACATTTTTCAACCGATTTCAACAAAACTTCACTTTTTTTTTTGGCAGGTAGTGTTTCTTATTGTCTTGCACACATTTTTCTTTATTTTTACATTCAGAATGCTTTAAAAATTCCATTTACAAGACAATTGTTTATAATAAAATTCTATTCAATCGGTAGACTCATAACGATTGAAAACAATGCTTTTGTTTGAGTTTGGGTTTGACCAATTCGTAAAAAAAACACTAAAAAACAAAACAAAAACAAAACAAATTAATTAAGGCATGCATGTCCGTCAACCTTAAACAATAATCTTTGTCAATTTTATTTTTCAGTCTTTATGATGGTCGATACTTGATCTATCTCTTGATCTATCTCGTACTGTTACATCCCCGGGCAACGCCGGGCTCTACTGCTAGTATATATATATATATATATATATATATATATATATATATATGTGTGTGTGTGTGTGTGTGTGTGTGTGTAATGGTAAAGAACTCTTAAAGACCAGAATTTAAAAGGTTTTAAAACAAATTAAAGTATTAGTGCGTATTTTATTTTCTAGTTGTTCTGTCCATAATATTAAGATTACAATGCATCTGTTATCTATTAAATTATATCTGTGTCTGTTATATATATATATATATATATATATATATATATATATATATATATATAGAGAGAGAGAGAGAGAGATAGATAGATAGATAGATGTGTGTGGGGGATTGTAAACAGTGACTAATACGGCCAATAATGAAAGACTCTTCGGTAAATCGAATCGAGTTCTCTCAGTCACTGTGTGTTTATCTAAAAATAAATACACTTAAATTCACCTTCATCCCTGCCGCGCACCAACAGCTTAGTAGTAGAATTCCCGACAGACGCCAATTCAGTCGGGTTTCGATTCTAGCTAGAGGCAACCGGACATCTAGCCACATTGATGAGCTGTGATACAGCCAAACAATATGCCTGTGGATGACAATATATATATATATATATATATATATATATATATATGTGTGTGTGTGTGTGTGTGTGTGTGGAAGAAAAGGATAAATTACGCAAAAATGAAAATAACACCGAGATCTAATTTTAAAAGGAGATATTTACCAAAAGTAGACAAAAATATCTTGAAATTCTAAAGAATAAAATTATTCAATAATATCGCCATTTGCTCCAACCACCGTTTTCAGACATCTTCGGAATCTCTTGCAACTCTTTTCAGTTCATCTTTGGTGAAACAAGGGTTTTTTTTTTGTTCTCTCGCTCCTCACATAGTCTTCAAGGGGTTTGCAATCTTGGAGCGGACAGATGTATAAATGACGCGAACGCTGAAATTAACCAACATGACTGGGTTATCCTGATTGTGTGGCATGGTGCAGAGTCAGTGTTGCGAAAAGTAGGGTCTTCCAGCAGCCACCCACCTGACCCGGGCAACACTACCTCCTCA